AAACGGTTGTAAGGTTATATTGCTCAGTATAAACGGTTGTAAGATTATATTGCTTAGTATAAACGGTTGTATGGTTATATTGCTCAGTATAAACGGTTGTAAGGTTATATTGCTCAGTATAAACGGTTGTATGGTTATATTGCTCAGTATAAACGGTTGTATGGTTATATTGCTTAGTATTTACGGTTGTAGGTTATATTGCAAACAACACGTTAATACACGGTCATATAACATTTCAAGCAATATCAAACATGAATATAACGCATTAATAATACAGTGGAATTTCTTTATTTGAAGAAAAAAGATATTATTAATCGTTTATTTAGATTATAAACGTTACGATTATCTTTGAAAGGGACGTAACACACTTTCAATATTATAAAGACTCTTATTATAACATCTTAGGTAAATGTTTCTTTAAGTCAGCCATTGCATATCTTTGATTTATATTAGGAGTCTATTTCTTCTCCATAATTTTATCAGACAGACAGACAAATATTGTGTTTATTTAAACATACATAGCAACAGGGTAAACATTATTTTATTCAAAGGGGCCCAGATTTAAAGTAACTAATAGAACAACTTAGATATTCGTGTTTTTTAAATACAAGATGAGATGGAAGGTATAACATCTAATGTTGCCAACCCATTTACTTCTTGTTATATACTCAGCATTTGTATGATATGATGTAATAAAATATGTTTAATGCAAGATGAACTTAATATGAAAGTTGGATTGTTTACGTACACTAAATGTATTGGTTTTACTTATGTAAATATTACACGCAAATAAACACTTTAAAGTTTGATTTAAAAAATATTAATTATATAATAATCATATTTCTAAATGCAGTGTTTCTAGAAGCAAAATATAATATAACATAGAAGTTCCGCACAACATGATTTGACAAAATATTAATTACATCATAATCGGCATGACTAACTAGCCAATGTCGGAAATAAATTTTGTAGTGCATGTTTTTGTTTGAAACGAACCTGCAAAACTCATATCTATGGCAATTGTTTATAATGTCAATCAGTGCATGCACATAGATTTAAACTATTTATTACATTAAATTATGTTCACCATAAAGCATTAATTACCTGTTTTATGTCATTGAAACATATTTTTTATGACTTTTGCTATCAGTAAATATTTCTCAGAGAGCATGTTAGCTTTCAACTGACATTCTCTTCATATATTTATTAGGGCTGGACGAAATTTTTTTTTGTTTGTTGCATTTTACCTTAGATATCAAACAGATAGGGAAAATTGTTGACGATGATCTTGATCAAGAGTTATATTATATGGCTTTGTATTTTTGTAGAGGTCAATTTCTTAACATCTGGTTATTGAAATCAAACCATACGGAGGCCATTAATAAAATTACGATGCTTGGATAAATGTATTACTATTACTCTCAAACCGTATTTAAACATATATTGATAAACGTTTCTTTGTTCAGTTGTCAAAGTTCATTCCTTTTTTTACCATGACATCAAATGAAAATAACTTGTCCTAAACACATATTCAAAACTAACAGATTTACCCACGTTCTCTTCTTGCTTTTCTGTAGCTAGTACTTCATTAACTAAAACAAATAATGTTACATTGATATCTAAATGTAGTACTGGTATATTTGTTTTAAAATTAAATTAAACAAAGGACAAAAATCTGACTTATTTAAATTGAAATTTATTTACACGTCTGATAATTATTAATTTGTAATAATAATAAAAAACTCAGAGAAAACAGAAAAAAACTTAATTTCTTCACGTCAAAAGACTGTATGAGAAATTTGCATTTTTGATAGTAATATGCGGAAATATGATTCTGGTGTACGATATTTCAATTCTATTATACGGCATTTCAATTCTGTTATACGGCATTTCAATTATGTCATACGGTATTTCAATTATGTTATACGGTATTTCAATTCTGTTATACGGTAGAGTGATGCTGTTATACGGTAGTTTAATCATTAATAGACTTTCTTTCATTCTTTCATTCATTCTTTCATTCTTTCTATCTTTATCTTACATGCTTTTATTGTTACTCTGCCAAAATAACCAGTCTGATTAATTGTATTATGCTTTATGTATTGTATGAAATGAGAGAAATAAACGAATTGAATTGATAATGTTATACTGTTTTAATAATAAAATATACAGTAGCCACAGTGCTGTAGAGTAGATACCGCGCTATATTTGACCAAGGTGAGGACACAATTAACGCATAGTGTATTGTTATGTTACTTAACCTTAAATATTATTATTGTTTTAACTGAACAGGACATCCAGCATTTACATATAAATCAAATTCAATAAATGCATACACTAAATACACTTGTCTCCACTGCGATATAATTTGTTATACCTGGGATACTTATGGACACTACACAGTGTCAAGCACATAATTACGGAATGCCGTTAGGGCCATTGCCTATGAATGTGTTGATCTGAAACGCGATAGTCGATAGTACGATGGTGAAAACGCGAAATCACGAAACTACGATGGTGAAAATACGAAAGCACGATGATGAAAACGCGAAAGTACGATGATGAAAACGCGACAGTACGATACTACGATGATGAAAGCGCGATAAACTATCGTGTTTTCACCATCGTACTGTCGCGTTTTCACCATCGTAGTTTCGTGATTTCGCGTTTTCATCATCGTACTGTCGTGATTTCATCATCGTACTATCGCGTTTTCACCATCGTACTATCGCGTTTTCACCATCGTACTATCGCGTTTTCATCATCGTACTGTCGTGTTTTCATCATCGTACTATCGCGTTTTCACCATCGTACTGACGTGATTTCATCATCGTACTATCGCGTTTTTATCATCGCACTATCGCGTTTTCACCATCGTAGTTTCGTGATTTCGTGTTTTCACCATCGTACTATCGACTATCGCGTTTCAGATTAACACATCCATAGGCGATGGCCCTAACGGCATTCCGGAATGCCGTTAGGGCCATCGCCTATGAATGGTTTGATCTGAAACGCGATACTCGACAGTACGATGATGAAAACGCGAAATCACGAAACTACGATGGTGAAAACGCGACAGTACGATGGTGAAAACACGATAGTTTATCGCGTTTTCATCATCGTAGTATCGTACTGTCGCGATTTCATCATCGTACTATGGCGTTTTCATCATCGTGCTTACGCGTTTTCACCATCGTAGTTTCGTGATTTCGCGTTTTCACCATCGTACTATCGACTATCGCGCTTTAGATCAACACATTCATAGGCGATGGCCCTAACGGCATTCCGTACATAATATATAAATATCGTATAAATCTAGTTTCATTTAATAAAAAGATTTGAAATCTTAACAGAGAATAACATCTATGTAAAATGAGCAAAAAGTTCAATGAAGTGAATAGACTTTGTAAAATAATGTCTAATACACGGTCAGTAACACAGTCCGATCCGTAATTTTACTTCTTTTTTCCCATGGTCGACACATTATTACGGATTAATTCTTGTAGGCGATGCTCCGACATTCTTCCACAAGAGCACGTTTTAGCTCGTTCGACTGCCTTCAGGGTGGCTGTGATGGAAAATGTGCCCACCGAAGGTGCTAGCAACCTAAAAATAAATAATGATAAAATTCAATTTTACTGATGTCAAGTTACAACGCTTTACAATTTACACTAATTTATTTCGTAACTGTTTTGAAAGAACATTTTTTAGTTTATAAGTAGAATACTTGCGTATTTGTATGATTATCCGGTCTGCAACATCCTAATCCCGCAAATAGTATGAGCCATTTATAAGTGTAAAATGTTGGGTTTTTTTCGGCATTAGCTATTGCAAGTTATACATTTAAATGTATTTTTCGGTCAAAATACCAATCACGAATAGTAAATTTCAAATGTAATTACTATTTGTTACTTATATAAAGTTTCTCGGTCAATAATATAGAAATCTGCGTACCTAACCGAATCTCATTTTTGAATGATTTTATCTATCTTTTATAATACACTGAACCATATATGAGGAAGTGTTGAGTTAGCATTGGAACTAAGTGAAGTATTAGACAATATTGTAAATAAACATTAACATAAAAGATGAAACAAGCATTCAAATAAGATGTGTTGTTTTTTTCTATTAGAATCAAATAACACATAAAAGACAACGAAAATATCATTACTCACTCGAATAATATTTCTCAGTTTTAAATTTTCGGTTATACAACATGTACCCATGAAAAAGCGCAGTTATTTTTTTTTTTAATATTTGAAAGATTAAACAGAACCGTTATTTGATATTGTTCATTCGTTTGCAGATAGTTATAAAGTTTTATCAATATTTACATCTGTTGCATTAGCAAATCATTATATATATATATATACAAGTACATGGAAATATTGAATTCATCGGTTTATACACGTGTGTTATATATTTATTCTATAATATCAGTTATTCAGTAATTCATCATATTAAATTAAAGGATTATAAATTTAGAGATTATGATTTCAAAAGAGACTCAACTGAAAATGGAGGAGAAAGTTACCCTAACCTGAATATGAAAGGGTCCTTTCACCGTGTTGTGAATGGTTTTATAGGAGCATCCGCCGTATACTGATAATCGACCGAAATAAATAGTGGCAATTAAAATAGACTGTTTAATGGTGTTTTTAAAGTATCGCTACAAAGTGATGGTGTGATATGCTAAAAGAAATTATTTTAACAAACGACGTGGATAAATATATCTATTTCGAGAAAGAACTTCTTGCTATTTCAAACCGATACATTTGTAGATGTTTTCTATACCGGCTTGTCAAATTTACGAAGTTGTTGCGAAAATACCATTCGGCAAAAACAGCATATGACTACCTTAAATCAAAATATATCTGTAGTGTACCGACAGGTCACGTATTTTCGAGCGTTTCGGTTCATCTATAGACCAGTCATAACGCAACCAGACGCTCACGAGCTTCCTACGATATTGTCTGGTATTGGCTGCTGCGCGCGGGGGGAGGGAACTGAAATCGACCGATTCCTTGATCACGTAACTTCCAATACGGCTCATCGGCTCTACTTTAAATTACTCGTGTGAATTTTGTGTAAAAATACTTCCTATAGCGGCTAGTGCGTTAACGGTGCGTAAAATGATTAAATCACCATCCGTTTTGAGGAACAAAGCGTGCAAATCTTGTTTTATAGTTTTTTGTCGGCTGCTGCAAAGGCTCATTTGTAATTTGATCAATCTTTAAACATGTCTAATTAAGGATTTAAGCAGAACAGGTCATCTTATTTGACACTCCGCTATTCCTCCTTTCATTTTAGAGTGCTGATAAAATTAGTATGAAATGAAGGATTTATTAGCTGAGATGCCGTTATACTATCATGTGAGGTAGACAATAGTTCCAATTTCGATGTCTTTTTGTAACATTTAACGCGATTAAAAATGAATGAACAGTCTTATTTTCACTGGGATTTATTCCGACCTCCAATTCACAGTCCTTCTTTTGCAATGGGTGCTTCTTTCTTGGATATAAGGTTAGTATAAGATAGACTGATATTCTCAGTTTATTTTAATAATTTCTAAAACATATGATAATTTTACAAATACAACTTATGATAAATAACATATATATAGGCGCAGTAAATATTGTAAAAATTCTATATCATCTTCTGTGCTAAGATCATCACACGTTTCAGTCTTAAAAACATAAATTTTTTAAATATTTGTCACAGATGTTACTTTGCAATTTTCTAATACCAAGATAACATGTGCAACACATGCTTTTAATATTATGTAGTTAATAGAAAATTATTTGTTCAATATATATTTACAACGTTCGATATTCTGTATAATATAAGTTAATTCACGCGATATATGTAATATCCTATGAGCTATTATACTATCATAACAAGCACGACATAGCAATTGTATCTTGACAAAACTTGCAATTTCTATTCCATCAAAATGTCTTTTCATCTTTTTATCCAATCGATGTCGATATATCTAAATAAAATTAAGAAAAAATAGCCAAGTATGACTACAATCTCAACATGTTAAAATAATGATGAAAGACCCGGCACTGTTTAATGATTATAGGTAATAAAATAAACAAATACTAGTTAGAAATTACTATAAAACCATACTCTCTATTTATCATTGTAACAAGTGATTTAATTCAGAATTTATTGCTAGCTTAAAATATGTCTATAATGTCGTTTATCAACAATGTTGTAACATTTAATTTAGAATTTTTGTAAAAAAGTATAATTAGTACTATTTCAATATCATACCATATTTTAATTACTTCAAAATCATAACTTCTATGAAATATGATTATCTTTTAATAAATATTAAGTTCATCGTACAGCATTACTTCTATTGTCATAATGTTTTCATAAATTCATCGCCAGGAATTAACGTGTTTTGCGTGGTTCAACCCTTTATCCCAAAAACATAAAGGAAAGACAACAAAACAACAAAACAGTCCTTATCTGATACAAAGTGAGAGTATATCATTATAATATTTACATTTATGTTTATATGATGTAATTATAAAATGGTGCTGCAGTATTTTCATGTAACACAAACAGATTTTGTTACATACATGTATATACAAGTGCATATAATGTAACTTGGAACCTTTGCCTCAACATAGATGCCAATAACTGTTCATGGCCACTTGAGATGTTCAAAAACATTTTAGAGATTCAAAGTTCCGGGGTTTTGATTTAATTCTTTAAAGAAACATCACAGCTTTCTCATAGCCGTCTGTTTTCTTTAAGCATTTCAAAACATTTTTTTGTTCTTGCATGCTACAATGCAGTAATGTGGATTTTTTTAAATATATACAATGTATTTTGAACCAGAAATTTAAACGAATGAAATACATGAAATTCAATTAGTAATAAAAATTTGTAATATTCACATACATGTCGAGTATGTAAATTTTGTTTGACGATATACGTTTTCGTGACGCCCTTTTCAAGTTTTTTTTTTATAAATATTTCATTATTTGAATACAAAGCTTTAAAGTTATAGTTTGATTTTTTTCTAATTTCTAATGTTTTGTGAATAACTTACATTGCCAACACATCAAATCAGCGTAAATCAAATTATAGACACAAGCAGACGTTGTTTATACCTTACAGTGATAAAGATGATACAGATATACTTAACGAAAAATAAAGTTTCATGTGAAGAACCAATGTTCCAGGAAAGATATAGATATCAGAAATGATAATTATATTGTTTTCTGTTTAGTGTGCCGCAAAAAAAATCTGACAGTTACACATACACATATATACGTTCGAAAAATAAAAAAGAAATGACAAATTAATTGACATACACTGGACTCCATGTCAATAGAAACACTTAACTTTTTTCTTCTAACTTATTCTCTTCCCATTTCAAACTTTTATTTTACAAATGAATAGAAAAAAAATCATTTTATTTTACATTACTATCAAAAATCTGCAAGGAAACAATGATAACAGAAAGAAGAAACAATACCACGATGAAATAATTATAAATATAAAAAATTGTACACTTTTAAGTTTTTTAAAACTTATATTTTTAAAATTAATCAATTACTAATTTATAATAACTATATTTTTAATATAAATTTTGTATATCGATAGCATTATACGATCTATATTTACATTTGTATTTTTAAAATTTGAAACGGCGAAAAAAATAGGATACGTCGGCGCAGTAGGTTTTCGATAGGACTTCATTTTAATTAACATGTTTGTATTGTCAAGCAATTATCTACAATTTACATTGGTGTTGAATACTGTTTCTTCAAAATATTGTATTTTATTGTCACCCGTGTGTTTATCCTGGTCTTTATATCACTTTTCACCATTGGTCTGTTCACATCTAATAAAACTACATGTATTTATTAAATGTTTCAATGAAAAATGAGTTTTTCTAAAGATAAGGTAAAGATATACTTTTGTTTTATTGATAAAAGTGCAAATAAAATCTTATCTTTCCATTTTTTTACGAACAGACTCAAACCTAGAACACACTTTATCTTATTTACCCCTGTACGGATGTCCTCTTTTGGGGACTTTCTAGAATTTTAATGTATTTTCAATCGTTCTATAGACTCTTGCATACAGGATTGGTTATGGACATTGCTGTACCATTGTCACACCACCGTTCAAATACAATAATAATACACTGACTGAAGCGGAAATCTGTGATATTACATGAGGTGTATCCCTGTACTAACACCACAAATTTCGAACAGAAGCCTTCAGGTCATACATTCTTAGACAGACACTTAAAAAAAATTACCAAACACAGTTATATACTAGCTTTGAAATACCACTACCGCCTATCTATCAAAATGTATGGTCTACAATCTTGTCATATTTTTGCGAATTCAACAAAACTCCTTTAAAAGATCTCTAAACGTCACGGTTTTCTGTAATGACAGTGTAAATGTTATTTAATATGACACTAATGTTGTATATTTTATTTGGTACCCTTTTTTAGTTTTATATCTTTTATCTGTTAATTTATGTCCATTACATAAACTTTGGACTTAGGATACAAGTTATTGCTTGTTGTTTAATAATCATATCTTGAAAGAAATAATTTATTTGACATGCACCATTATACTTTTCTTCTTTAGCTAACATAACTTCTGTCAGGACAAATGTGTTTTGATAGACAACTACAAGACGCAGAAATAGATGCACTGTTGTCCATTACAATTGAATTCATTTCAAAGATATGGCCGTTTGTAATGGGAGAATAAATCACAGACTCTGAATTATTTTGTATATGTTATTTTTTTCTGTATTGACTGATGCAAGTATGCTCTTTGTTAATGTGGTGAATATTTCAATACGATTAATGAGATGGATAAACTGTTTCTTTATAAAGATATATAAATTATTATATGTTATACTTGCAGTTTGAAATATTGCATTTCATCAAATCAATTTTGTTTCCTTTCTTGGTTTCGTATAATTTGGTGATAAATCAATGTAGCGAATAAATACATTCTAAATTATTTTCAAAATAAAGAAATGCTTCTCTTCGGTCAAAGTATTTTATATGATGACAATGTACTATTTGTATTTTATTTTATGTCACTAAACACGTTTATGTCAACATCGCTCAATGCTTTAACACTACTAAACAAACTATAGGTGTAAACTTTGCATATTTTTAAGAATATGTGTAATCGTTTTTGAAACACCGTCATACGTCAGAAAACTTTATCTTTGCTTTTGTGTCTTACAGTAGATTATATTAATTTTGAAACTTTATTGTGTTTTGAATTTTTTTAATAACTTTTAGTGGTGCATTTAAATATATTAACACATTTTTGGAGATCTTACATAGTTAAGAAATGCTGATATTTTTTAGTTTCGTTATCAGAGAATCAAACATATTTTTTGTTAAAAAATTTCCGGAAATAAAATACCATTGTCAATCTCAGTTTGATAGAGTACATAAAATTATGAAGTTAATTTTTGGCATGCATCACCATCAGCGTTCAGTTAAATAACCAACATCCCACCTCAATGCATATTTCAAAAGATAACGTCTTGTGTAATTCAATCAGAACAGAAAGTTTGGAAGGAGAGTCAAAGAGATACCACTTAACTTGAATAGAATGGCCCATTAATTTCATTATTATATCAGTGTATAACAAACTATCTTTGTTGTCTTCCTTCTGGTATTTAACCATATCTCCTAACTTGTTTAGAAATAACATAGTCTGTCGCAAACGACAGAATGCCCTACCCCACCCCTGTTGTTTACAGTGTGATGTTTTTTTTCAGACGGTAATAATTGGCCGGATATTTCGTAGAACAATGCCATTAAAATAAGAAACATTATCAAAGATTCGGATTGATATTCACAAATGGTGCTCTATCCCAACCCCAACACCGGTTGATTAAATATTTAAATTAAGGACAAGAAAATAGCCAAATAAATGATCAAATCAGAATCTTAATCATCAATCTTCAAACAATAGTCATCATCAAAAACAATGATTTAACACGTGTCATTCGCTGATTTAAAAAAAGAAAATAGTTCATAAATGTACGTATAAGTAAACGTTTACTTTTAATACTTACTCATTACAAAATTTAAATGAAAATAATAAGTTCCAAAACAATATTTCATAAAAGCTCTTTTTCGCGTTTCAACTGTTTAAAAATGATGAGAACGAAAATGAAAATATTGCACAATGTTATTATTTTTAAGACCGGTCGTAGGTAATTTCATATCATTAAGATTATTTTAAACACTATCTCTGCACATTTTTTACAGAGAGGAGGCTATGCGTGGACTCCCCGGAAAACCAAAGCCATTTTCTTTTGATCAATCCTGTGCTTTGTGGTAAGTACACATACATAAACATATCATTATCTTTCTTTTTGTTAATTATTTGCAGAAATATTTCTAAAAAATTCTTTATTGTCAGTGATGAGTTCATTATGCATTGTTTGAGTAGAATACTGGTTGTAGATACAGCTGTACATTGTACGATTCCAGTAGAATCAGTAATGTTCTTAACAATGTATATTTAGCTCCGTGTTTCACATTATTTTTTTTCCATTACTTGAGCAGAGCTTTGTTTATCCGAGTACAAAGTAAATTTGATAACGTTCTTTTGGTCAGAAAATGATATAAAGGTTAAGATATGGTATTTTACTTGGAAAATGAAAGCGAGACTGGATCAAATAACGTTTTATATTGGAATAGCATATGGTAAAAACGCAGAATGTTCATAACTCATTATATGGTAGTATTTTTTGTGTGAAGTAATTTTACTGTTACAAGTGCACGTCATTTATATCGTACTTTGTTTAATCCTAAATTAAAGTATGTTTTGTAAGCTTATAGCCAATAAATGTTCCTTGAAGCAATATCTTTTATAGATTATTATCACGTTGTCTTTAAGTTAAACAGTAAGCTATTATAATGGTAAGAAGCACAACTGCCTCAATTTAGCTATTGTATCAAAGAACCGATCTTAATTTCATGTTCGAATAATTTCCTGATAACAATATAGAATTGTTATTGATATAATACATCATCACTTTCATTCTGTTTTTCTCATGAATATTGATACTAAATGTACCTATATAGATATACATTAACCCTTTACCCCGCCGGCGGCAAATGACTCTACCCATGAGACCAGCGCCAACTCATCATGGTCTGTCCTGTTTATAAGTTCAGTCAGTATTCATGTGGAAAAAAATCCTGAAAATGATGGATGGTTTTGTCGAGATAAAAAGATGGACATGTCTATCTATGATAATTTAACGTGGTAATCATTTATTTGTACTCTTATTGTAATAGAATTTAGAGATAATGCGTGTATCTATCCGATCATCGCCTTTACATTTTAAATTCTTTGCTTAAAAAATATATGAGCCGTGCCATGACAAAACCAACATAATGCGTTTGCAACCAGCATGGATCCAGACCAGCCTGCGCATCCGCGCAGTCTGATCAGAACCCATGCTGTTCGCTATCAGTTTCTCTACTTGTAATAGGGTTAGTAAGCGAACAGCATGGATCCTGATCAGACTGCGCGGATGCGCAAACTGGTCTGGATCCAGGCTGGTCGCAAACCCATTATGTTTGTTTTGTCATGTCGCGGCTCATATATAGTTTTCTTTCATTTAACGTATACAAAATATAAATAAATGTACCGGTATATAGTCTTGATTTCATGGTTAATGCATTTATCTGTAACATGCACCAAATATGAGTGAAATCATTTGAAGCCTGTTGCAATTGTATTAATTAATTTGAATTTGTAAAACTAATTAGCATAAGATTTGTTGAAATTACAATTGTAATTCACATGTTCGTGTAAAATTCTTATCATTACAATCACAAATAAATTCAGAGTATAGATATTTTAGTTATGTCGTAAAAATTGGTGTACTCTTGTAATTGAAATATTTGCTATGAATTGTTAGCATATCATGTCTTGAAAAACCAAAAAGGCTATCATTTAAAGACAATTAAATGTGCAAGAATTATATCTAGTCAGTATTTTACTATATAAATTCATACGAAGTAATAATCCTAGAAAATCCATTAAAATGTGCTTAATCTTTGGTCAATATTTTGATTTTTATGTGATTGCCTGTTATTTTATAATTAATAATAATTTTTTTATAATGTAACAATGTTTACAAAAATCATATAAGGTTAAAGTGTGATTTTAAAGTGACGTTCTAGTAAACTTTGAAAGACCTTTATTAGTTTTCAGTTTTAATTATATGCAAGGTTGATCAGCACATTGTCGATCATTAAAGGGAAATATTCATTCAATGTGAGACACTTGATAACCTTTTCTTGCCGCCAGCGGCAATAATGACTTACTGATCACAAAGGTACAGTGCAAGGCTAAGCAGTGAAAGAGGGCGTGCGATTCTAAAAATATAGGACAAGGCTGTTCTTTGAGAGCGGGCGTGTGATCCTATAAGGTATAGTGCAAGGCTAATCTGTGTGAGAGAGAGAGAGAGAGCGTGTGATTCTAGAGGTATAGAACAAGGCTGACGTATGATCCTTAAGGCTAACCTGTGAGTGCTAGCAAGTTATCCTAAAGTGCAAGGCTAAGCTGTGAGAGACTGTGCGTGATCTTAAAGGTGAAGAACACATGTGAGAGCGGGCGTGGGATCCTTAAGGTTAAGAACAAGGCTGGAGTATAATCTTTAAGGTATAGAACATGGCTAACTAGTGGGAGTGGGCGGGGTGGTAAACACAAATGGCCGTTTCAAATTTAAAAAATGGCAAATTCATTTCACAAGTTTTCACACTGACAAAGTTTAAATATCAAATAGTATATAAAAGGTATATTGCACATATGTAGCCAACAAACATTTGTGTTCACGGACATAAACAGTCATTATTGCAAATCATTTTGAATCCCATGCAGACATTATTTGTAGCAAAAGTTGAATAGATGAACCTAATTTATGTTGTATAATAATAAATGAAGGTACATTAATGTATATTAATGAATGGATTGCTCTTCATATCTACTTAGTCTAATTGTATTTTAATTTTAAACAATCGTCGATCGTATCTGAAAAATAAAAGGCATCGATTATAGTTTTACTGCATAATTAATTGCAAAAGTAGCAATTACATTAAATATTTGCATTTCACTTCCTTTATTAATTACTGCAGTACATACTTTAAATATAATGAATCGCTAGCATTAACATATTAAAGTGAAGAAATTTTAACTTGTCAAGGTATAATAATCCCTCATAAAAAGAAGGGAAACAATAAAGAGGAGGCAGAATAATTTCATTCATAACTTAACATGCATGTTGGTGCTAAATGAACAATATTGGCCTAAATTACGCTCGGAAATCTGAATGAAAATACCAACAACGCTTACACGTGAATTATAATTAGTGGTAGGGCTTTAAAATTACACAAAATGTTTTCCTTCAAAGTAATTGTATTTAAATTTCTGTTACTTCATTTGCAATGAAACTATATTTGTATAGTTATAAAATAATTAAGATTTGAACATTATACTTGACGAAGCTTTTATTACAATAATTAACTGCAATATGTTGACGGTTATATTCAAATTCATTCATATTGAACGTTATTCATTTCAGGCCATCTATAATCTCACCGTTATATCGTACATGTATATCCAGTCAAAGTTGTCTTATATTTTTCTTACAACTTAAAATTTAATTTAAGTAGAATACCATTTTACTCTTTTCTGCATATAAGTCCAAAAAGTCCGTTAAGATTACGTGTGCCTGAATCAATCGTGTAATTGTTTGTTTGTTTTTTGTTTGTCTTGTTTTTGTTTTTTTGTTTTTTTTTTGTTTTTTTTTCAGACAAAAATTTAGAAAATATGTTTATGTTAAAAAGGTATATAATTCTATCTTTAAACTAGAGCTACATCAAGTGATATTTTTCAAATGCCCGATACACGGTCTATGTTTAACTTATGGGTTTCTTTGTATAATAAAGCAAGATGAAAATTATTCAAAATCAATTTTTGTATGGTCAGTTCATTTCTTGTTTTCCCCTATTGTTAAACAGCCTAACTGTCGCGAGATATGATGACATTATAAAATTCCTAACTTAGCTGAAACATCTACAGTATCAAGTGCATAAAATCAAATGATCGTGTCGTGAAATAATAATGTTAAATCGAAGACAAGAAACTCTTATGTTTTATATTCTAATTTTGTTCTGTTCAATATGGACGGACATTCTTTTTTATCAAAAACATTACTTTTGAAAGTACAAAGAAAAACAAAACAGCAATATAAGAAGTTCTGCTTGATAAAATAGACTTCTGATATAACTATTATCTTTATATTCTTGAATTACCACCAGTTCCAAGATTTTTATTCTGCAACTTTGGCATTCTTGTCTCGTATTTCACATTATCATCATCTGTTTAGAAAGATTTGGTTATTCGCGAACGTCATTCAAGCCACCGTGTGCTAGGATTCAAGTTTTTTATTTTCATAGAAACAGTAGTTGTTTAACTAGATTATACACATAATTTATAAGCTTCTGGTAGAATAGCATACACTTTTTTATAATAAGCCAATGATGTCCAACTAATGGTTTTGTAGAAATTGTATAAAAAGTAAATCCTTACGAGCGATGAACTATATTAATCAGTTTGAAATAAATATTAACCTTCAGGGCGTGGTTGAATAATAACAGCAAGACAATAATTAATAATACAATCCAACATCGGCTATAGGTGAAAATCTTTATGATAATGCAAAAAAAATATTGTTTTTTTCTTTTCTAACATGCTCATTTGAAATATGTTAGGAAAGTAATTTTCTTGACGCCTACTGCGTTGATTCGTGAAATCCCTGGCGTCGTATGAAGTGTAAAAGGTCTTTTATAAAAACAGGGTGCTGTATATTGTATTGGTATCATAGTTTGGGGACCTTTCTGTTGAAAATGTGACATAGTTAAATCGTATACATATACATGCACAGCGCGTTAACTGGAGTGCAGGTATTAGTTACCCATACTCCAGACCTGGGGTTTACATATTGTGACGACAGAGAAAGGGATGTCGATGGAAATATCATATTCAGATGATCGTTCATTGGTTACTTTTTTCTGGGGTTTCATATTGTGGCATCAGGTAACGTGTTTTATCTTTGACTATGATACAAAAGAGAAAGAACATCAAAACACTCGGCAATCTGATTTATACTCGAGGGCTACGCCCCCTCGTACAATCAGATAGCCTCGTGTTTCGATGCTCTTTCTATTACATAAGTATCTCTTAAAGAAAATAAGAAGTTAAAAGAATCATGTTAGAATTTAGTTTATTCAGTGATGTAGTAAATGATAATGATGGTATATTGGTTCACGCATGTGCATTAAATTGTTGCTTAAAATTTCATTTGTCTAATTGTGAAAACGACAAAAAACAATCGACATATCTTATAACAGTAAAAATTTAAACAAAAATATTTTTATTATTTTTTATGTCAGTCACGTTTAGGAGCAGCAGGCACTTTTTTCTAAATCATGGTTTTCTTAGCATTAATTTTCATTCACTTAATCATATGCACGTAATATTATGTGCTAATTCGCTTTCTCATTTTTCTTTTCTATCATTATTCTAAATACACAATTTTAACCTGCATTTATTACCTGACAAATCGTCAGAGACAAGTTAAATATTGTTCAATTATCACAAGTGACGAACTTAACTATTGACCTTTAACCCTAACAATATGTAACTTTCTCAGACTTATCAAATACAGACAAATATTTTCAATGTGATACCAACGATTCCACTATACAAGTTTATTAAGTACTTTAACTTATATCTGACGAACGCACCTTTATAACGTCTGTCTACAGAGGGGAAGTTCATTATAAATTATTCACGTTTAAGTCTATTTTAGTACACTTAAAAAATTTAAAATGAATTAAAAGTTTATGTAAAGTACCCCTGTTAAGAACCTCAATAAAAAGACACCCAGTTAATACCTCTTCACGGTTCTAGGGCCTACGACAAATTCAACGTTAAAACATGCATTTTAAATGTAATAAGAAGTCATACATCATACTCAAATTAAATGTGTTAGTTGACGAATAAAGCATGGAGTTAGACATGATGAAAAGGGAATGTGTGATATCTTAATATTTCAAATGACTCAAGTAGACGGCGAGAAAATAAGGTAGGTACTTTAACATTTAATATTAAGATTTGTTCACCGATAACTCGCTAGTTTTATGCTAAAGGATGAATCAACAAAACAACGATTAAACCTGGCAGTAGGAAAATAGTACTTTGATGTATGTTTATGATAGACTCTAACTTCCTGATTTAATTTTGTTACAGGTCAAAGGATTTAGGGCTGGACCCAACGGAAGGACTACCAAACGTCGGTGGGCGGTGAGTGACCTATATTTGTTATAATCTTTGCATACGATACACATTAGTTTGCCTTAGATATTGCATACATTGTGCACACAGCTATGTATATTGTACTTCTGTGTTACGTAATTTGATCGTCTGCACTATGCATGTAGCTAACGCGTTGTCTACTTAAGACGATGACAGAGGCCCTAGCTATTTTTTAAATATAAAAAATACCATGTTCTGAATTGTGTGTATATAGCACTGAAATTACACACAGAATTGTGTCGTTTAATATAAAAAGTAAGTTATATAAAGCGGAAGAAACATGAAAATTGTAAACTTCCTTTGTAATTAATTAATTATCGCATTTTATATGAGTGTAACTGTAACTGTGTACAGTGTAGTCAATTATCAACTTTCTACTCGATTTTCATTAAGTTTGTGCTATCTGATATACAATGCAAGGTATTAAGTATGTAACGTGTAATAATTGTCGTTGACAAGGAGATACTTTTAATAAATTAAAGTATAAACATTGTAATGGAATATCATAATATCCTATCTTCTTAATAGTAAGATTCCGACTTGACCTGTTTACCAAAAACCTTTTTTTGTGAAAACAAGAAAAGTTTTCATCTGCATTGTCATCCAAAATATGTCGAAATTAAATAAAAAGTGAGATCTACATTCAAAGCTTAAGTTAGGTTTTTACATACAATATTTAATTTTTAATTTGAAAACAAAGTTATCACAAATAAAATGTAAAGCATGAATTGACACGAAAGTTTCATGAATTTAGAAATTCCATTAATTTATTTGACGCATGCTGAGTTTACTGAGGAGGGGAATTTTCTTGATTTCAGTCTAGATACACAAACACCAAAACAAATATTAGCCACAATCTATACAGTAAATACCATCTAAATAACAAGTTGATAAACAATTCTAATTAAAGAACACATGTAAAGCCTTGTTTGCTTTTGCACAGTCATCATTGTTACGTATACGTCTTCAAATTAAAATTTGACATCTGGACACCTTACCAGCTCTATGAAAGAATGTTTGTATTTTTTATTTAGTTTTTTTTATTTAAATTACGAATGGTATCAAACTTGTATGTTCATTGTGCAAATATTCGACATGATTAAATAAATTATGTAATGTTTAAAAAAGCTTGTCTCATATCTATGACTATAATTCTTGTTCATAAATTATATTTTAAAATATCAACAATAATCATATGAATTGTCCTCATTGAATTATCATGTTGGACCAAGCATGATGACATATATATCAATTAATAAACACAAAATATTTCATATCAGTTATTAATTAAACGATATATCAATCCATCTTTGGTTGACCACATCTCCAGAAATATCTGTCATTTACTTTTTTGTAAAGTGAATATATATTTTTTATTTAAAAACTTGTCATTTAAATATCAGTTATAATACAACATTATCACGAATGTTGATGACCTATTCAAACACTGTAAAAATTTGGAAACTGTATCAACTTTCAAATATTTTAACTTATTTTTCATCATTTGAATTATACATTAATGTAACTTCAGCGTACATATACATGTTTATATACTACAGATGAGTATTTAATACATCAGTCAATATTAATTACAATTCACAGTAACCTTACTATACTTCAAAAAGCTTATAACTTTAAAGGTATCTGATATTAAGAATTACATTTATCACTCGATAAAGGATATTGTATTATTTTATACGCATACATTATATAACATAACATAACATAACATAACATATTCTTTATTTGGCATAAAATGGCAATACACATTTATAGCCAATACAATCATGTAATGGAAGAACATGATATATACAATGTAATATTAAGACCTTAACGAATTTGAATATTTTTCAGAGAAAGTTCTTGGTGCTACAAAATTTGAATAAATTTAAGTTCCTGTTATCTATTCTTGTAATGGAAGAACATGATACATAATATAAAGGCCTTAAAAAGTGAAATGTTTTACAGAAAGAAGTTCTTGGTGCTACAAAACTGTTGTCAGTTATTTCTTTAAATGGAAAATACAAAAATTTTAAAAGATATTAACTGTTGTCAGTTCTTTCTTTAAATGAAAAATACAAAAATTTTGACAAGTGAATAAATTTAAGATACTTACTGTTGTCAAAAATACAAAAATTTTGACAAAATACTTACTGTTGTCAGTTCTTTCTTTAAATGAAAAATACAAACATTTTGACAACTGAATAAATTTAATATACTAAATGTTGTCAGTTCTTTCTTAAAATGAAAAATACAAACATTTTGCATTTGCGTGTTTGTTGTAGACATTAGTTTTTCAAATTTATAAATTGATCGCCAGCGACAATAGTATGGTTTTAAGTATTTGCGACGTAAACTAACTAGCAAAAAATGAAATTCATTTTCTATCAAATTTACATTGCAATTCGTACATAGTCTGTTTTCTCGCGCTACGTTTTGGTATCGACCCGTTTCTATTGCTAGGTTTAGGGGTGACAATCTAAATTTTGTAAGTGATAATCGAAATTTGTTTATGTTAACTTTATGAAGATATTCTTCAGTTTCGAATGAGCGTTTGTAGATGCTGTATGACGACAGTCTACTAGAATTTCTTATATTGCTATACCATTCTTGCTTGTAAATGTCCAGTATTCTGTTCTTAATTTGTTGAAAATTGATTGTTATATGTTCTTGATTAATCCATATGTTCGACATTTCTATTTCATTTAAAATATGTTTAATTTGGCAGAATCATTCGCACTTACCATTCTTTTATGGATTAAAATTTTGAAAAATCAATACACTGTACTTTGATACGGGCCATTGGAAATCCAATAAATTTCAGCGAGATTCTACGATATGTTGCAAACGATAGTGTCAGTTGGTTGCAGGGAAATTCATTATAACTGTCGGCATATTTGGTATCAAAATTTGGAACAAAACGTATTGACTAATTGTGATTTTTATTTATTTTTGCATTGACATATGATTATTATAATAACCTTTTTTAAGTAAAAATGATAAAACTTGCGTTTTAAAATTGAATGTTTGCCTTTGGATACTAAGATACATGAACTGAACGCCATTCGAGTCGACCGCCTAAGCCGGTGCTAGGGGGCGTGAGAGAAGTTATACTGACAATTATCATATTTTAATCAAAGTAAACCAGTGTGTAAAAAATATGTTTTTGCAAATTTGATACCAAATATGTCAATGTTTTGCATCGTGGAATAAATATACAAAATTTCGCACATTTTCTTTTGCAACTCAAACGTTCTAGGTTTGTTACCTTAAAAATAAATATTGACATGTCAACAATACAATTGGCTTTCTGTTAACTAAACGTATAACTCGAATCCATGAATGATATCATGCTTTTTTCTAGTTGCTGAATGGGTGGGTATAGATTTTTGGATTCTCTTTACTGATTGCTAAACGGAGAAATCAAGATTCGGCCTGATTACACATTAGCAAAATTTAAACTTCACGAATATTGCTTCTTTAAATGATAAGAAACAAGATAATTATGATTCATGAAAAAGGTGATATAAAATCTATAACGCTTATACATCTACCAACACTACAGAATAAAAATCTATTCATTTCTGCATAAGGAAATACATGTACTGAAAAATCTATCAAAATTTAAATACGGGATAAACTTTCTCAAAATAGAGTACATGCCTTTGCAATTCAAATTCTTATTAATATGTTTGCATTTTCATCTGTTTTTCATGGCCTGTGACCTGACATCATGCTTGAAGACTCGCAGTTCTAATTTTATTATTCTTGATTCATTTAACCAAAATATATTATTTTCACATCATTTCATATAGTATTAAAATTGTAATTTAATCTTTATTGCAAGTATGATTTCTTTAGGAATTAGAACTATTATGCAACGTTTTGATTAAGGTGTTTTAAGGTGTTGCACATACTTTGAAAGAGATTAAATCTAACAGCATACAACTTGTAAGCTTCATTTCACTACTATCAACAGTTTAACGATTAAAGAAATTTAGTTTTTTAACCTTCCTATATGTAATTATATGTGTTCAGATGGCTTGACGCTCGGTCTATCATCTATTCATAAGATATAAAGAAGCATATTGGTGTGAAATGAATTCACACATTATAAACTGATGTGAAGCTCAGACGGTTTCTTAAATAGACCAAAGTTAATCCGGATAACTTGATATTTTTTTTGTGTCCCAAACATTGATTGATTTTTTTCTTTATTAACTAAAAACGTTCTTATAATAAACACTACCACATATAGGAGGAAGGCGTAAAAAAATCAAATATAGAAACCGCATAATAAGAAACTCAATTAATTAATTTTGATAATAAATAAATAAATAAATAAATCTAAGCACTAAATAAAAAAATCAATAAATTAGTGTATATAAACGACATATTAACTTGAGTTTCTCTATCAGTTAAATTATATCTGCCTATTTTCAAATATTAAAGAATTTTTTTAAATCATATCTGGTGTAGCCAAAGCTAAAAGTTTAGAGCCAAGATATTTTGGCATGAAACTTGACTATAGATAGGTCCGATAGCAACTTTGTCTGCTCTCCACAATACAGTGTTTCCTCCCGAACACTAAATTTATGTGGAAATAGAGAAAAGCGAAGTCCTTAAAGAAAGTCCAAAACGGCAAATTGAAAATGTTGCAGGCTCTGCAGCATCAGCAGCAAAAGCAACAAAGCAGCAGCAACAACAACACCAGCAACAACAACAACACCACCACCACCAACAACAACAACAATAATAATAATAATAAACAAAAACAAAAACAAGAGATATATAAGTTTTCCTCCTAAATCTGCATGGATCATGAAGTTTGTCAAACACGTTAATGTACAGCATAAAAGTGTAGGTCAATTGATTATGTATAATTTAGACATTAAAGGAAGTAATACATCAGAACTGATCTGTGTTAGTCAAATATAACAACCTACTCATTATTCCAAAAGAATTCATAACAACTTATGAAACTAATATATGAGCCGCGACATGACAAAACCAAGATAATGGGTTTGCGACCAGCATGGATCCAGATCAGGATCCATGCTGTTCGCTTACAAACCCTATTACAAGTAGAGAAACTGATAGCGAACAGCATGGATCCTGATCAGACTGCGCGGATGCGCAGGCTGGTCTGGATCCATGCTGGTCGCAAACCCATTATCTTGGTTTTGTCATGACGCGGCTCATATATGTATCCATGCTAATTGCAATTTGATTTATTTCAGTCCTATGCATTCTAATATATAAATGTACATTATTTCATATTGTTGTTTCATTAATTACTTTGTGAGATAAGTTTTATGGGGTTCTTTCTAAAAAATATTGTTTTAATTGGTATTTATTGACCTAAGCATCCGTTATTTTCAAAATAATTTTGTTTTGTTTTTAAATTAATGAATAATCATCCAGCACACCATATATTATTTCATATCACCATTAATGAGAAATGATAAAATTCTTTTAAACATAACAATCATTTATATATTGTTCATATATATATGTTCTGAGGGTTTTTATACCAACACCATCATCTCCAACCACCCTAAAATTTGTGAATAGTCTAAATGATTGTGTTATGGTAATGAAAGTAAGTCATCACTAAATGTCATTATCTTTAAAAGAACGCTAAGAGTTGATTATGTTGATTATCTATTGTATTAAACTAACACGTCCTTATCACCATGTCCTCTCCATTGCCATGTTCAATTTATTTAATGTGACACGTTCGGATAGAAAGATCACGTAAGTCCTTCAATACTATGTGATGACCGTATCAGCTCACCCGTTATGTGTTGTCAATACTGTTTTATCATAATTCCCAGTCTCCTGGAGAAGTTGGTTATAATGTGGTGTCATATCATATTTACATGCAAAGCAGCGTGGCATTACGGTTTAAGTTATTGTATTCAATGAGGTTATTTCTAAAATAATAACATATACTTGTAACATGGGGAAAAGGGGACCGACTACAGCTATGATGTAAGTTAAAGTTAACGTAACAAACATTTCATTTTGGAGAAATCGAGCATGTATGGCAAGGAGCACACCTAAAACAACTAGTTCGAAAATGTATAAATGAGTTCAAGTAAAATGCAACATTTATTTCATGATTATCTAAAGCTGAGATGTGTTTCTAAATAATGAAAACTAATTTGTATACATCAAAGTCAATTTGCCCGACAATGCATCCGTCTAACAAAACTATGTAAAATGTACAACATTAACGCCAGTATAGGTGAACAATTAACGGTGATTGAATGTACTCCCTATAAATATGAGTGAAGTCTAGTACCAAATAAATGACGACAAATTACCATTAACTGTATATCAACTTTTTAAACAGTTCAATTTAAACAAACTTCTTATCATTTTATACAATTATATTTACATATGACGTATAATGCTAATGAAAACCTTATCTCATTTTTGAAAGTTGTTTTAAAATATTGTTATTTAATTAGTTATGTACTATTTATTTTACATTTTCCAGCTGTCAGTTATCGTTACTAAATACTTAGATCAAACATCCGGGTTTTTTGTTTCCTCTTCTTGGTAGCTATGAAAATAAACAGAGTTTACATGAAGTGTCGAAGTGCCCGCTCAGATTAGTTATTACTTACACATCTCCCATTACATTTGTCTAGGATATATTTTCCTTAGCAATATCTTTTAAATGTAATGGTGTCTTTGAATTCACGCTGTGATGATATCTTTGCATTAGTGATTGACCATTATAGGTGCAATAATTGAATTATTTGGTTACAAAATAGAAAATTCTAAACGAAAAAATTCACAATATACATTTAGTTTGTGCTATCTAATGAAACGCTAATTAAGCATAATTTAAACGTTAATATTTTGACCAACATTTGCATAAAAGAAATGAATTAATTTGAAATTGTATTTGCACCAATTTGTCGCATTAGATTATTATTCCCTTTCCTTGCTCTGTTTCAACAAAACAATTATAAGATAGGAGATATGCTATGATTTTAACTAATATATTCCTATCATGTATGAATCAAGGATGAATGCAGTTGTGCTAGAAGATTAGGTAAATCTTAATTGCAATCGCACGTGCTACAATTAGACACTTACTTCCTGGTTATAAAATCTGTCCGAATATTCTAAAATGTGACACGATTCCTTCGCAAAATGCTATATCTGAAAGGTATATTACATAATTATTACCTAAAATCATGAAAATATGAACACGCATATAATTCTATCTACATTCAGATATTCTGGCGATAAATGTGAATAATTAGTTACAATTAGTAACAAAACTGAATATATACGCAATTAATATTAATACATCATTGCCATGACAAAACTTTGCATCATATAAACTTCTTAATATGTAATTTCTAAAAATAAATTTACATATAAGACGGAACATTCTTTTATAAGCATTATACCGCTCATAATAGAGTAATTAAATCGATTAATTATATAAAACAATGGTACTGTTTCTGTTACAAATAACACCAAATCCAACACGTTAGGGAGCTTATATATCTACCATGCATTTATATCAAACATTTCTTTTTGTTTAGTATTCATTTTTTTCGATTCTGATAGCAATATAAATATTCATAATTTAGCTCATCATTTTACAGTAACAAAATATACGAGTATATAAAAATATTCTTGTGTTTTTTTACAAAAGAAACTCTTTTATTTTAAAGAAGAGAAACAGAGACTTCTTGTTATAAAACTTTTGGGCTTTACAAAAAGCGATACATTAAAGCTTAATATGTTTCCCCCTGTGTTCCTATGAACCCATAACTTGCTGAATTTCTTAAATTAACTTGTCCAGTTTCCATTTTCCATTTAATATTTTATTTTAAATTCATTTTATTTCTCTTACAATTTGCAAAGTCTTTACTTTGGTAAAATTATCAACAAAAAAAAATCACCTAAATATTGACTGTCCCTTTTTTTCCCTATCTAACGTTCACAACTATATGTACATGTATTGGAGATGATGCATTATGTACAAATGTTGATAAAACATTTGATTTGTTTTGTACAAACTGAAATAGATGATACTTTTTTCTGTCGAGTTTACACGCTCCATGGTGATGAAATGTATTAAATTTTCCGCCAAATAATGTCAATTAACTCAATTATACTGGTAACAGTGGAACTTTATCTAGTATGGTCCATCGTAAATGATGTTCCAACCTGCCGCTGAAAACATTTTGAGTGTTATTGACACAGTACTGACATAGTAGAGTTTGTTCCTTTAATCGAACAACGGGAGCACGAGCGCTAAAGGAACGCCAAAGGCGCCGATAACACAGAAAATTAAATGAAATTAACCCCCACACACTCCTCATTCAGTCTCCGATTGTTCGGGCAAAGAAAATGTCTAATGTTCTTTGAAATACGTCTAACCTAATCAGGTTACAAAAATAACACATCCGGACAAAAGCCTGTTTACTGCCCCCCTTGAGTATTGTTGAATAAATTTGTATTTTGTTTTTTAATAGTACGGTTTTCCGTTATAATAATCCACAAAAAGAAGTCATAGCAATCAAACGAAATTGAGTTAATTTTGTATTCACAGTCAGAATTATTTGTATTTACTTTGGGCAGTTCCATTCCCGATAGGTTATATGATTTACTTTGTGTGAGTAAAACATAACTAATTTCATTTCCAAATGCGTTGCTGTTCCTTTTCCGTCTTGGCCTACCCCAGCAGTCTATCTGCTATCATTCTGTGTTGATTGTGAATAATCCTTGTGTTTTCTGTACGTCAAAACTGCCTTATAATTCAATCTATTATTCATCATCAGTTTAAGGCGGGGATGTAATGAAGGACATTATTTGATTATGCAAATCGCATCAACAATCTAAAACCCTACAGTTTTAAGACAAGATTTATATGGTAAAATTAAGTTTTTCGTTTTCATAGGGTTTAATTATTTTTTGAAAACAATCAATTTGTACAGCAGTTGCCTTTAATTATCAACATGACAATAAAGTGTCAATAGTTGAGTGATTTTAAATTCAAGTTAAATATTTTGCTTTACTTTGTATTTTGTAACTATACATGTATTTATTCAAACATAGACATTTGAATTGAGCAATCACTCTGATTATTTGAGTCAGAACACTATCCAAATTGACGGCCAGATAACTATATGAATTAAAATACTAGTCATAAAAATATTGGAATATATTCAAAAGAACAGATTGCCATATCATACATTCAGTAAAATAAATATAAAAAGAAGGAAAATTTGTTTTAACTTTTTACATAGCATTATTGTAATCTCACTTGGATGTTTATTTGTGGTAGACCAAACACGTACAGTAATATTATATGTGGCATGTTTACAACATTTATTTATTTTCCATGTACATGTAGTAAAATAACATAACATAAACAAAAGCTTTTTTCATTTGATTTAATATAGTGGGGACACTGCTGTCAGTTAGATATTTAGTTGCAATTATTTGTAGTATTAAAATGATATGAGAACAAAATCGTTTGATTGATAAAATAAATTTACTTATTGTTTTTTGACAGTGTGCTGGAGATCCGAAAGGAGAAATCTCGTGACGCAGCTAGATCTCGGCGCGGGAAAGAAAATTACGAATTCTACGAGCTGGCCAAGCTCCTCCCACTACCGGCAGCTATTACAAGTCAACTGGACAAAGCATCAATAATCCGACTGTCAATCAGTTATCTCAAACTTAGAGATTTTTGTGGACATGGTGATCCACCTTGGACTGTAGATGGACACAGTACTAACAAAAATGTAAAAGGTATTGATACAAAAATCTATGACTTGAACTATATGCCAAAGCACTCAAAAGTATATTAATTATCATTGCAAAGGACAAGAGGCAAATTCACATTCACACATAGCCATATGCCAGACTCCAAGTGTTATGAAGGTCTTCTTATTTCATAATTTCAGATCTCAAGCTAATTTTTGTTCCAAAACATATGTGTATTCGGCTTCCAACTTTTACGATTGAAATATAAATAATATTGTTCTGTTGACTGTACTTGTCTGGGATTTTCTGACGTAGTAACAACCGTTATCAGCGTCAGCTTGTTTTACACCTATCTTTAAGCTGATCTTAGATACCGTTCTGCAGTTGTTTAAACGAAGCGTGAACGAAGCTATCGCGCCATATCTTGTTTATTCGCACTGCCTGTAATGTTCCCAATACTCTTGGAACATAACATATATTACCAGCGAACCGGAATCATTTTGGCATAATGTTGGCATAGCTTCACTTGGTCTACTGTCTGTTACTGATACTATGACAATTATCAAATTGTTCCCAATCGTCCATGATAAGATTTTAAGATTTCTATGGGTGGATTTTTATGTGTGGCTTGCTTTTTTGTGGTGTGAATTTCAAACAAGAATTCTGCCAGACTCCGTTATTGAGGATATTATAAGATTAAGTTACGTAACACAGTAAGGATGAATTATCAAAGCATTGGCTAATAAATCACTTATTTCATTTATGCAGTACAGCTGATTCTGTTTATAAATTTTTGCCCTTGTCGTCCGCAGAGTTTTTGTTTGTTCTATAACATCACGGAAGTGAAACATGTAAATTTGTAATATTAAATCATAACGACAGCGAAGTAATATTTGAATTTCAGAATTTTTTACTGACTCATTGCAATGTTTACCTGTTGTAAACCCGGAAAATAAAGATGAAGTTGTTACAAAAATAATTTGAATGCCTAACTTAATAGTGAATCCGATTACACAAAACAGACAAGTTAACCACAAAAAAAAATGTTAAAAAATTCCATATTGGATATAACAAAAATATTGCTGTATGTCAGGTAGGCCTATGATAGGGGAAACCTCAATGTTATAAAACCTCCATATTCAATATGACAAAAACACTGTGGCAAAATAAAATCTCCATGTTGGGTAAAATAAGGAATAAAAACCTATATGATAGAGGTACAGTTCTACAATAAAATAATTATGTTGGATAAAACGGAGGAAAGCTATTTCATATACATGTATCTTGGAATGATGCTTTTCATGGACAAATGTGTTTATATAGTTCGTTCTTCGTTATCTATCTATTTGCTTCCACAATGTGGTTTTATGACTAGTTACGGTATATGAATATACATTATCACAAGTAAAAGGGTAAATATATTTGAAATCTTCTGGGTGAAAAAGCATTTTGTTTATTTATTTATAGGCAGTCAAAGACGTAACTCAAGTTTATCAGGGGATCTGTTTGACATCCATCAGGGAGCTCATATTCTACAGGTAAAATATTGTATATAGTAACTTTTAAATCATTTACTATTATAGAAGTTTTCGCCAGTGTTACATCATATATTTCTTGAAATAAAATTAAATATATGTCTCGTACCTAAAAAGTATTTAAATTCTTTGTATTTAATGTTCAATTCTAAAAAAAAATTTACGAAGAACTGATGAAAAATGGTCTTATTCTTAGCTGTTAATATGACTACAGACAGATTTTGTGATGAAAAGTTAAGGATAAGGTGTCTGGTGGGTGATTCGTTCTCTTCTAGATATCGAAAAGAAATTAAAGTATTTTCTTTTCTGTCCGGTTCTATAATGATTGAATTAATTCACCCTAAATTTTATCTTCTTGTCAGAGGCTGGTTTATTTCGCCCCAGAGGTCTATCAACGTACTAATCTCCCTATGATTGTTTATTTGTATGTATGTGAGCGCTCCATTCTTCACGTGCTTAAAATGACAAAATCCCGCGAGATTCTCAGGGGATTTGAACTGGACGTTGATATTGAATCACTAGTGCATTAATAACATTTCTCAGAAATGTGAATGGCAGAGGTATTAAACTGATGATCGATTGTGCCTTTAGAGACCCTTCTAAATGCGGACCATAATCAAATTTGAACCGTTCACTTATTACATGTGGCAAAATAATGAATTGTTTTGGCTGTGAAGGATTCGCCAGAGCGCCGTGATATAGTGAGAGATTTCTTTAAAGTCTTTTTGTCATCAGCTGAAAATTGACTTTTATTGAGTTCGCAAGTTTCAGACGCCGAATCCATGTCGATTACCCTTATTCCATATGCATTGGATTTTTGACGAGCTTTTCCTAATTTCTTTTCTATATTCATTAGTGTTAAATAGGATTAAGAACTAAAATTAGTTTACGATGACTTGTCATATAATATTACGTGTCATTTATCACAAAATAAAGGCAGTAATCTAATTTGCAATTAATGTGTACATTTTTGAAAACGAATATTGTAGCAAACTATATTAAGATAAAAATAACAAATTTCGTAAGAAAATATTCCCTCATTGAATCCGTCCAAATAAAATTACATTTAGGTGCAACCATGTTTTTTTCTAAACTTGTAGGTCCTGAATCTTCTCTGAATCTAAATTACCTAATTTCTCCAAGTTTGATCGACACGTAACATGGCGCACGTGATCTACATGATGTCACGAGGATTTCAGTACGTGACGTGTGAAATAACTTAAGAAATCTCTGCGACAATTATTTGACAGAAAATTGTCAGATTCTCGGAACGTCAAAGGAGAAAGCTTTTAGCATATGGCTAGAGTTTGGTTTATGTTAATGCGACTTCCTTCAGATGATATTTGATCGGCAATTAAACACTTTTATTTAGTTATTGACAATAATCTTTTTAATTTATGGTTAGTTAATCACTGTGTTGTTTTCGTTTCAGTCTCTTGATGGTTTTGCTTTTGCATTGAGTAATGATGGAAGGCTTTTATATATATCGGAAACTGTATCAATCTATCTAGGGCTTTCACAAGTAAGTATCAAGATAAAAAACAATTTCTGAAAATAAATGAAAAGAAAACCAAATTACAATAAAAGAAAGTTAAAAAATAAATAAATAAATAAATAAATAAATAAATAAATTGACTTATTTACATTTTACAACAATGGGTGCAATATGTTACTAAAGAAACCAAAGACTTCCAATACACGCGCTGATCTCTGCGATACCGTTAAACGATGCCCCCTACATTGAAAGCAATTTTGCCATGTCATTCTCAGCGTTAAATTGACTGTCAAATTTGCACATTTTTGTGCTTAAGGTCAATTGTGCTACAATACAAAGTGTATAATTAGATCCAGTGAAGATTGTTAATGATAGAGAGTTTAAAGAACGCCTACCAAGTGCCGACAGTGGTCATATTGATAAACCATTAACTGCCTAATTGAATGAATCTGTTCTAAGATGTTGATTTTAATTATTTCCTTCAAATCTTATTCAATGACCTGGAATGAAATTTGTATTTTATAGGACAGTTCATTTACATAACGTCATGAAATGTTTAGTTTCAATATGCAATAAGGAAAATGCGTGATTTTTTTTTATAAAGAAAACCCGTATTTGACAACCATTTAAAATAATATCCAAGAGGTGTTTCACGAGCGTATAAAAATAAGAAAGAAAAAGTGTTAGAAAAGAAATATATCTATTTGTTAAAAGAAATACAATTAGATATACATGTATAAGGTTGATTGATGGTTTACAGGTTGAGATGGCAGGAAGCAGTCTGTTTGATTATATACATAGTCAAGATCATCAAGAATTAGCTGACCAATTAGGTATCTCACTAGCTAGTAAGTATCCTTGTTATAAAAAAACACTTATTTATTAGCCGCAAAAAGGCAAGAACAAATAAGAGTAGTGAATACGCTGAGTAGCATTTGTTTTTCCGTTTCATGCTTATTCTTATCTATGATTCGTCGTTATTTTTTCAAATCTATTGCGGAAAAGAATGTAAATTTTCGCAAGAAAAGTAACGAGTGTAATATTTTTGAAACAATGTTATAAAAATATAAAATTCCTTCACTTTTTGTTAGATTTAATGTTAATCGGATTGGCGATAAATATTAAGTCTGTTTTATGTATGTTTTGTCTCTCTGGAACTTGATGTATTTCAAGATATAAAAAGTAAAGCCGAACAAATATTCCAAATATTTAATTTATACCAGCAATTGATTTTATATTAAATATGTATTTAAGAAATGTCTTGTGCGAAAGTTGATTAATATCCGAGTTTTTTAGTATATCATCTCACAAGAATGATAGTTATAATAAAGGAATGAAATTAAATAGTGCATTAAATTAAAGAAGTTTGTCAGTTTATGAAAATTATTTGACAAAAGTGAAATAGACAACAAAGGCTTACTAGACAATTATTTTGGCATTTTTAAAGCATAAAGATTTGTCAAATTCATGAGCTTCTCTGTATAAAGAGATAGATCAGCTTTTTACCAAGAATAAACGAATGATATATATTGATATATATTATTTTGTTGGGGTTTACGTCACGCCAATACTGTAAATGACATACGGTGACAATCCGGCTTTGCCGTTGGAGGACGACCTTAGGTTTACCGCCATGCAATTATATATATTAATGTAAAAAATCAAAGATTGACATGCAATTTTAATCCTTCTCAAAGTTTATTTATAAATCGGATCATGGTGTTCTTCATTGTAAATCAAATTGTTAAAAAGACGTTACAGAAAATGACAACAGTTTACTTTGAAAAAACAACTATTTCAAACAACGTTGATACATGCAGATACAAAGTATTTAAACAGAGGAATGTTGTAATTGACAAAGAAATATTCAAAGCAGCTTAATTAGAGACGCCAAGGCTAATTATCCTTAACAAAGTCCTTCCCTTCAAATTCCATGTCAAGCAGTGTATCTTAGTTCATTGGCCTGTTACTTTCGTATTGTTTATGCTATAGTAAATGATAAACTGGTGTTTTTACATAAAACAGTTTGAGGAAATAAACAATTTTCCTAAACATGTGTACTTAATTTATTTCCTTTAGATCGTTTATTTTTGTACATTCAGAGTGCAGAAATATTTTACATCAATGGTGATTTTGATGTATTTCGATTTTTATGATTTGTTAATTCTTGTTATATGTCAAAGTTGGGATGATTTCGATTGAGTTATGACCATGTTTACAGTGACTTATGTCTACTGTAGCAATGTTGCATATGTTATACAAATGAGTCAGCTGGTTTAAATCACCTAGGAGACATGTTGTACGGGCAATTATACACTCAGCAAGCAAGTTATAAATCTGACACCAGGGTGACATGTACGACAGACCAGTGCATACATTCACTTTTATTACATTCAAAACTATAATGTTATTATAACTTTGGACATTTAACAGTCATTTATTGCAGGTAATTTGTGCATAAATGCCGTTACAACTAAATACTTACAAATTGAACAAAATTATGAAAAAAAAGATATGACATCATGTGCATTTTCAAAGAAAAACGCTCCGGCACATTGCAATTTATGCTAATTAACGACTTTACCTTATTTTAGTCTTTTCTAAGACTAGAAAGGATCGTGATGTATATGGCATCATAAAATTAGAAACGGAAAAAACAAAAAAGTATGTCCATGTTTTAAAACAACAAATACTTATACTAACCTTATATCCTTATTATATATGGATTTCTAATTAGTTGAGTAATATTGAGTAATCACTACCTATAACTGATATTATATATATATATATGTTGTCGATATTGCATATTTTCAGGTGTTTCGAGTACATTGTCCTCCCCTGCCTCTCCGTCAGTAGATAGTCCCACAACACCAAGAGCAATAACTCCTCCCGTTAGCGATAGAGGTACGTCATATATTTCATTTTAATGTTACTTTCAAAACAGTCACACAATAACCCCATATCCTAACCTACAGTAATTTATACGAAATTTTGTTGTATACGTATTTGCCTCCTTCTTTAAGCATTATAATCGATTTTTCAAGAAATAATTAAATGAGGATTGATAATAAGACAATGATAAAATTATAACTTGTAGTGACAATATCAAGTAATAATTTGAATCATTAACCTCGATTTATGATTAAAACAAGATAAATGGCATCACTAATTTTGCTACATTTCAGTGCCAATCATGTCACCAAACCTTGAAAAGACGGCAGACCGGTCCTTCTGTATTCGAATGAAGTCAACTCTTACCAAAAGAGGAGTGCATTCGCGCTCGTCCGGGTACAGGGTACGTAAACCTTTGTGTATTACAACGTCATCCTAATTTGAACCAATGTCTTATACGTAGTTGAATTACTACAATTAAATATTTCAGTGATTATTTCAAAAATCTATGAATGTATTGTTTGATAAAATCAGTTAAGGATGACATTTTAATAATTGTGAGGAATATACATCCAATTTATAATTTATTGTAATCAAATATTATTATTTTATCATAACATTTTACCAAGCAACGGAGGAATGAACGCGTGTAATTTACTTTACAGGTCGTGTTAATTGTTGGTCAGTTTAGACCACAAATAAACTACAGCATTGGTAGAAAGTGTCCTGGTCCGTTATTGGGGCTATCAGGTGTCGCTATTGCTCTCCCTCCACCGACAATCACTGAACTAAGAATAGAGGCAGATACCTTCATCATGCGGCTGACTGCACAATTTAAAGTTATTTACTGCGAAAATGTGTAAGCAATGTCAGGCCGACGTGAAACATTTTCAGATATCTTTTAACTTTCTTCTTGTTCACGTTATTTGTACAATTATTTTCCATATTTTTACCATTCCTGTGTATAAAAGAGACATGATCATAAAAGTACAAATCTGATAATATAAAACTTATGCATTTAAATATAGATCTACAATTTTCTCAATTACATGTACTGTTCATGCGTTGTGGTTTTTGGTGATCTAGTCAACATTAAAGTGATTATTGCAGGGCAACCTTATAATGTAATATTGACTTACCTTATTCAGGATATCTACATTAACTGACTGGAAGTGTGATGACGTGATTGGTAAAGATCTATACGAGTTTTGTCACCCTGCAGATGCTCATCATTTAAAAAAGCTGCACAAAGACTGTACGTTTATTAAATAAATCACTATCTAAAATACAATAATTTGATTCAATTAAAATGCAGATTCCAAAAGCACAGTTTTATTCTGGGCCATACTTGAAAGTTCCTTTAAACACTAGTAGTTAAAAATAAATAATGTGATATTTGTGGCATAAAATCGTAGATGTCTGACCATTCTTCATTACGTCAATAAATGAGTCATTACTGTATTACATTACAAATTCACAGAAAAACGAATGTAGTTCGCATTATAATGGTATGCGCCTTATAATGGTATAAATCCTTATCTTATAAATGCATTGTGTACATTGATATCTTGATCACGGTAAAGTCTCGAAACATTTTGCAATTTGACGCATTCAAATTTTCATCATTAGTTAAACTAAAAAAACCACTATCAAATAATTGGAATGATTTGAATGTATGTTGTGGATTCTATAGATTTTTTAATATGTTTATTTATATAGCATAATCATTTATAAAGGCACACATGTAATATATCTGATTGTTATATTGAACAGTATTGATGAAAGGTCAGGTGATGTCTCCGTCCATTAGACTGCTGAACAAGGGTGGCGGGTACATCTGGTTGTGTGTCTGCTGCACTTCCCTCTACAGCTCAAAAACCTCCGACGATCAAACTGTGCTGGCAATTTTTCAGACGATCAGGTTAGTGACAAGCCCTATCACATTATAATTTTTTTAATGTACCAACTTTTATTCTATGTTGTTAATTTTGCGTTTTATTTATTTACTATATCTTTAAAAGATATATAAACTCTCATTGTGTAACTAGGAAATAAAAAAGTTTAGCCAATTTTCTATTGTCTAAATATGTAAACATTCTAAATATTTTTTTTGCAATTCTATTGTTGCTTTTTGAATGTTTTCAGTAGTATTGAGCACAGAGGTGTTGCTATGGACTCTAGTCAACTTCCTTATACAGACCATCAACACGTGGCTGCTCATGGTAACACAAACGAAGGTAGTTTGTATTTTATACTTATATTTAAACAATTTATAATAATGTGATACAAAAATATGTAGGGATTTGTTTCGTTATTCGAAGCTTACAAAAGATAAGATAATAGGTGTCATATAAGGCAAAGTTCAATGATCACGACATTTTTAATCCTTTTTTTCCATAATTGACATCGAAATTCCAACCAACACATTCATATTTTTTATATTCGTTTCAGACATAGACCATGTGATCAGTGAAGATCTTTCCCCAGCATCGCATACTTCTGATAGATCGCTCGTGAGCAAGCTGTCAGGTCATAATAGTCCAGACATTGTTGCAAACAGCGATAAAATAGCAAGTCCAGAGCCATCAAGTGTGTTTCCGAGTGGCATAGATAATGATTTTTTGTTAGATGAAAACATAGAAAATGAAAGTGAACCTGTGAAACATGACAATAAAATGTCGAGAAGGAAAGCAGATAGACCTCGGAAAAGAAAACGAGGTATTGATGACAGTCCTAGTGTAAGTTCTATTTTAGAAACATTAGACAACCAGGGTAAAGCATCTTGTGTCTCAGAGAGAACATCAAATATTTCTGACACCGTTGATGGGTCTGTGTTAAACCTGTCATCTGTGCATCACAGCTTCCCAAGTAGTCCCGAGCAAGACATGTCTACAAAACCACCGTCACAACAAATACCAGAAGATCTATCATTACGATCAGATGGTGAAAAAAGATTGGATGCAAACAGTCCTGTGAAGAATGACAGTAAATCTGTCTCTAAACCAAATACTATAGTATCAAGTTCTGTACATGAGCTTGAGAAAGCAATGAATCGCCACTTACCACCAAACAAGAAGACATTTCCCGTTTGTGACGAAGATAATCTCCATTCTACACAATCACAAAAATCTGCAATTCATTGGTCTGGTTCAAGCAATTCTGGACACTTACAGACATCGTTATCTTCGCCGTTTTATGTGAGCAATTTATATACGAGTAGGGAATCAGTAATACGGAGTAGTTTGAGATCTCACGTGTTGAATGGCGACAGTAATGTGATAAACATGCTCAGTCCGTCTAGTGGTGAAGTCACTATTCATAAGGACCAGCTACAGTTGCACATACCACATATAACTGTAAATACGAAACAAAATTTTCAAACTCATAAGAACGTACCCCTTACAGACGAGTTTAACATGACACCCCCCGATTCTGTCTCACCTCAGGATAAAATGGCTTCCGCATATTCGGATAATCCGAATGCACGAGATTGTATGGGCATGCGTATTGGTCAAAGGCATGACGTTGGCAATACATCGAATAAGTCATTTGCAATGGTAAACGATTCAGGCAATGATGTCTCTAAAACACAGTTTCTGTCTGTGCCAAATTATCAGTATCATTCATCCGAACTGGGTAGTTTCTCTCATGGACAAATGACATCAGGTGGACTTCTGTTTGATCCTCGTAGTTCACCGACCAATGCTTGGTACGGTTCAACTTATAATTCATAGTCCTGTTTCTTATTGTGGCGAACAAATGGCAACTCTTGAAGGAAACGGAAAAAAATAAAGATTAAAATATAACCAATCATAGTGAGATTTTCAATCGTTTTAAGCATATGCACATAGTTTGGTAGTTATGACAAGCGATTTCTGCAAATCCAGTAAAACAGGTTTTTAAAGTAATAGCTGGAGGTTAAGTACACATAAAACACGAATATTTCAGATAAGTCATACAGCGATATCGGCATCTTAGTTCTTGGAGTTTCGACATAGAAGTCAATAAACTATTAAGACATATTTATTAATACATGTATAAGCAATGTCACATTTCTAGTTTTAACTCTTTACCTGTGTTTTCTGTGTTGTAAATGAAAATATGCTTTCTTACACTCTAAATTAATTGTCACGTAGAATTATATGACATATGTCATGATTTTGATCTAAATCTTAACATATAAGTTATATCACAAATGTAAAAAAATATGAAATATGCCAATTAAATTGGAAAATATTGTTGATTTTATGTAAAATGTACATGTATACATGTCTTACACAGCTCATTAAATGAGAAATTATACATTGTTCTACAAAAACATTATTACTTTTTTTTGCAATGGCATTAAAATAAAAGTTACAAGTATATTTGTTTTTGTTTGATATATATCTAAAACCCGCTGAAAATGAGTTTTAAACATATTTTCGTCAATATCATCCATGTCATATATCTATGAATATTAATGTTAAAATGTATTTTAATGATTTAGAATAATTTTTGAAATACCAACAGTTATTAAAGTTTGAATGAATGCAAATCAATATTATGACAATTGGGTTATATCTATTTTGGTAATCGAAGAATAGTTAATTGAGCTGCGTCACGACAAAACCAACGTTATTGGTTTGCGACCAGCATGGATCCAGACCAGCCTGCGCATCCGCGCAGTCTGATCAGGATCCATGCTGTTCGCTTACAAACCCTATAACAAGTAGTAAAACTGATACCAAACAGCAAAGATCCTGATCAGACTACGCGGATGCGCAGGCTGGTCTGGATCCACGCTGGTCGCAAACGCACTATGTTGGTTTTGTCGTGACGCGGCTCAATTATGATGGTGCAAATATTCGTATGCTGCTTCAAGAATAGATATAATGGCGAGTATAGACTATTATAGAAATTGACCATTGTTTGTTTTTACATGCAATGAATTAAAGTAAGATAAATGTTATATTATTATGAGTCTAATATCATTCATATTCTCTAATTTTCTCTGGGTGGTATATACGTCACATTATTATCGTAATTTTTATGCTGTTCTTCAGTTTATATTCTTATTGCAGGGAGATGTGTGCAAAGGGAAGTAAATCAAGTTACAGTTGTTGCAACTATCGGTTAAATTTATAAATCTTGTTCTTTTTTTTAAAATAATGCAACTGGGTAAATACAACAAGCACATTAAGAACAACAACAAAAACAATAACAAAAAATCGCACGAGGATACATGTAGGTCTGGTGAGTAAGGAGGGTTTGGAATTACGTGAACTCTTACATATTTGATGAAAAAAGTCAACAGCTAAGCTTTGTAGGAGCGTCTTCATGCAACAATGATATGTACTTACAAGTAACACCCAAAAATATCCTAAACAATTTATAAAAGCAGAAAAAAAAATACAAGTCCTTCACACACGGCTACTAACAAAATGCAGCTCTGTATACCATCATTACTTATTCACTAATAAGCTGTTCCCCTCATCTTATAGCAAATATGACCTCCTAGAGGGTACCATCACTTCTTTTACAAGTGTCCGGTTTATAATGATAAGAGCGATCGTTTCCTTATAAATTAGAATCTGTTTGGTTGGAAATTTTTTACCAAAATTGCAAAATTTTAAACATCGCCTACCAAATGTACACCAATATTGGATTGACGATTATGAGAAACAACTAAGTATAATAGATAAATCAAATATAGAATATCATATTCTAGGAGATGTCAATATAAACTTTTATCCAATGAATAAAAAGAAAAAATATGACAATACAAAATGGGGTTGATTTGATAACGAAATATGGTTTGAAACAACTTACCACAGATCCTACTAGGATAACAAAACGTTGAGGAATTTGATATTCTGTCAGTGCTTCTTATGATCAGTTATGATTAGTTATTTTCTAATATTTGCCTTGCATTTGAAATACCTTTCTTATGTTTCTTTTAATAAACCTAATTCACCGAACATTGTGGGACACCTGAAAGGACTATGTACTCGTAGGGCAGGACTTCAGGAATGGATTGGCGCAGTTTTTGATCTTATTGTTTATGCCTAGCTCATGTAGGTTTTTGGTTTACCTTAAAAAATGCCTTACTGAAATCCGTGACTATAACAACGGTTTGGTGACCACTGTCGAGATTGTCATGTATTTCCTGTGTGAAGTTTACTAGTTGGGACTTATAAAGTTTTATGATTTGGCCTGGACCCATGGTCTAAGGATGACCATGTTGTGTTCATCATAAAGAACATGAAAGAGGCCTTTCCTTTGTGTAAGAAGAAAAGGTTCCGGAGGCGACAATGGTACCATCATCTTTCATAGCAGTATCCCTCTTTAGGACCACACCCAATCGAGTTAGTCACGTCAACCCATATAGTCCTTGTACTTTGAATGTATTGTGTACCTAGCTTATTCGCGACATGCATGCATCGGAACGGATTGGAGAAGGTGCCAAACCATGTAAATCTTGCTATTATTACATCATTTAGTTGTTGAGTACCGCTATCTGATTCGTCAAACCATTCCTTAACAATATATCATTTAATCAATAATCAATGTTGTCTATGCCGTCATATGATTAATTAAGAAAAAAATGGATTTCTTTAGAATATTTTGGTAAAATTTATAATAAATCAGTATATAAATCTATCTCATAACAGTTGGATGGTCATATTGCATAAGCTTCTGTTTACAAAACTGGATAAGATAAGGGGCTGTGAAAAAATTCAACCGGGAGTTTCATTTTTATAATTTTATTCTTCCTTTTCGTGAGTGTTGAAACCCAATGAAGCCTGACGAAATTAAACTTCACATAGAAGTCATGGGATGCGCCATCTTGATACTTGGCGTTTAGAGGTAAACAAACTAACTAGTAGCAGACGACAGAAAACAGTTAATTTGTGATCATTTAACAAACGAACCAAAGTTAAGTAACAAAATGGCAAATATGTCATTCCTGATCATACATTTTAACTCATGTATTACACTAAATCAATAAAACAAAACAATACCAATATAGAAACTTTCAATTTTTCATCTGTAACACCCGAGTCACTTAAAATTAAAGAATCTAAAATTAGTAAACCAAAAAAAGCAACAGGATCTGACAATTTACCACCAAAAATGCTCAGCAAGCATAATTTGTAAACCGATATCCATTGCAATAAATAAAATTATCAACACCACAAATTTATTTCCAGATAGTTTCAAACTGGCTCAAGTTACTCCTGTTTTTAATAAAGTTCATCCTTTTATTTTGAAAAATTACAAGCCTGTTATTTGTCAATGTCAAAATCTTAAAAAAACTAAAAATGAACAGTTAAATAACCATTTTGAAAATATTATCATAATCATTTAGCCGCTTTCAGACCAGGCTACGGATGCCAGACAACTCTTTGCGTCTAGCTAAGGACTGGAAGATGGCGTTAGACAGAATAGAGCATTTGGCAGCAATCCTGATAGACCTGTCCAAGGCTTTTGACTGTCTACCGCATTTCACAGTCCAATAGCTAGGGTATATGGAATGTCTGAAATGCATGTGCTCTAGTTTCAAATTATGTATCTAACAGACAACAAAAAGTTAAGATTGGAGTGTATCATTGCACTCGGCTTGAAACAAATAAGGGTGTGTCTCAGTGCTCTATTCCTAGGCCTTTCATCTTTAACATCTTCATGAGTGTATTTTTTTACTTTATAGGTAAGTCATCCCTTTACAAATACGCAGATGGCAATACTAAAGCCTCCTCCAACTCAAACTTAGACATACTGAATAACACCTTAGAAAATGAAATCAAAATACGTATTAAATGGTTCAACATAAACAGAATGCAAGCTAACCCTGACAAATTTCCAGCCATAGCTGTTGGGAAAACAACAAATGAACAATAGAACAATTTCAAATTGATAATGTAATAGTAACAAGAATGAACTGTGAAGATTGTGTAAAACTGCTTGGTAGACATAGACGTTTTAGTTAACTTGAATAAACAGGTCACAAGAATGTGTAAAAAAACCTGCAAATTAATTAAATGTGCTTTTAAGAATAACATTTTTTATTCAGAAATTTTACTTCTTATTTATAAATCTGTTATTAGGTCCAACTTTAACTACTGTCCCTTAACTCTAAAACAAACATAGAAAACCTTGAAAAACTTTAGCATAAAGCTCTAAGAATAGTTTTCAAAGATTTTTTAAAAAATTCCACATATGACACACTATTTTAAAAAGAAAATATGCCTACTCTGCATTTCTCAAGATAAAACATAAAGCCAAAGAAGTGTTTAAATGCTTTTACGTAAAATCATCATCAGATATAAATTATTTATTTCAATTTAAACATTTCAATTATTCTTTTAGGTATTAAGAAAGTGTAGATATACCATGGGTCATACACTAACATACGGTAAAAATTCTTTTGGGTTTGAGAGCGGCAGGTATCGAACAGTCTCCCTAACGACATCCGCAAGGTTGAAAATTACAAAGAGTTTGGGAGAATAGTACAGGTCTAGAGTGGCTCAAGCTGTAAATGTGCTATGTGTTGTAATGTAGCTTTTAAATGCTGATGCTGTTTGTTTCTGTGTGTTTTCCCCTCTCCTTTAGCTTGCTTTGTTTTAGCTTTCCTTTAAGCTTTGTATTTTTATGCTAGTTTTATCCTTGATGTCCATGTTTGTTTGTTTGTTTTAATTAAAACTCCTTTTTCTTTCGCCCAATAAGACTGTGCATGCAATTTCCTTTTAGTTAACTTTGTATAATTATTTATTCTTTATTATAGTCTCATCAATACACATATATACATATAAAACATTTAATTTGTATATAGGCATTCTCGAAAGAATTACAAGGGACTTGTTATAGCTAATACTAAGAGGGATAACTCCACACCAAGTAGATTTACCTCCCTTATTAACGTATATTCACATTTTCTCAACATTTACATCATATAAATCAATTGCAACAGGATGACATAATTGCACATTGTCATTATTAAAAAGTTATTTGAGACATTTAATTACAAAATTATAATAGACTTTTTACATTCTAAAAGTTTGATATCCTCTACTGACCTTGTCTTAAAAACTGCCATAAGAAATTATACTGTAAAATACTAAATTTTGTAATAAAAGCACTATCACGTAATATAAAAAATTGTTTTACAAAATCATTTATCACTCATGTTTAGACAATGGATGAACTGTTCAGTAGTGATTATCAAAACATAGGGATAAAACAACTTATTTATGTAATTAAAATATATCATATTCTATATTAAAATTTCTATGTGTTTAAAATTATATTAACTGTTCACTCCAGTATGTTATTCTCTGTGTGCTTTATCTAACATTTTTTCATGCAATTTTTGTGTTGCCTTGAAAAAGGCGACATATAGGGGTTACTTTTGTCGGCGGCGTCGGTGTCGTTGTCTGCGTCGATGTCGATAGCGTCCCGTCAGGCTTGTCCGGAGCATAACTCAGTCACTATAAGTCGGATTGACTGCAAACTTGGTATGCATGCTTCTTTCAATGGCCCGAAATGCAGTGCACAAGAATCGTTACTCTGCACTTCTTAATTTTTGAGTTATTGCCCTTTCTTAATTTTAATACTTTTTTTTGTCCGAGCCATTTCTCGTAAACTATTTAAGCTATTGACTTGAAACTTCATAAAATGATAGATCTCATTTATAAAACGTTTAATGCACAAAAAACTGGTGCTCTGCACTTCTTTTTTTTATGAGTTATTACCCTTTGTTAATTTTCTTACTTTATTTTTGTCCAGGACATTTTTCATAAACTATAAAAGCTATGGACTTGAAACTTCATGGGATGATAGATCACATTAAGAAGTGCAGTGCACAGGAACCGGTACTCTGCACTTCTTCTTTTTTTCAATTATTGTCCTTTTTTCATACTTTATTTTTGTTCGGGCCATTTCTCATAAACTTTAAAAGCTATGGACTTGAAACTTCATGGGATGATAGATCACATTGTGATAAAGAGCAATGTTCAAAACCGGTACTCTGTACTAGATGATTTTTGAGTAATTGCCCTTTGTTGATTTTCTTACTTTATTTTTGTCCCGGCCATTTCAACTAAACTATAAAAGCTATGGACTTGAAACTTCATAAGATGATAGATCTCATTGAGAAGAAGTGCAGTGCACAAGAACCGTTACTCTGTACTTCATGATTTTACAGTTATTGCCCTTTGTTAATTATAATACTTTATTTTTGTCTGGGCCAATTCTCCTAAACTTTAAAAGCTAATGATTTGAAAATTCCTAGGTGAAAAGAAGTGCAGTGCACAGGAACTTGTAACATGCACTTCATGATTTTTGAGTTATTGCCCTTTGTTAATTTTCATACTTGTCCAGAGAATAACTTGGTCACAAAAAGTTTGATTGACTCCAAATTAGGTATGTAAGCTTTCTTCATTGACCTGTTCAAAATGCAGTGCTTAAGAATCCATCACAGAGTCCTCCCTTTGATCTGTCAGTGTAAAACTTTTCCACGGTATTTTTTATTTTTGATGATATAACAGTTTTATTAATTCTGATGTAACATTGTTACAATCAGTTCAAATGCCACTAAAGTTCAAGGTACATGTACATTGTAAGAGCGGTGTTTATAAATAACCTATATTTAAGAAGAAAATGCCTAAGTTACAGCTATACTGTTCACAAAACTCGCGGGGTTCTAGTTTTTTATGTTCTACTTTAATTTTTAATTAAATAAATTTGAATCTTTTAGTAATTTCTAAAAATGTATATACAAAATGTACTCTAGAAGTTAAGTATTTCTAATTTAATTTGTCTATTCTCACCTTGCTACATGTATCATATTATAATTAAATTGTCAGCTCATTATATACTATAGAATCTAGTATTTCATTACTTTTAGAAGTTAGTCCCCTACAATGTGTAATGTTCATGTCACTTTATTTTTTTTAATTGTCATTTTATTGTATCTTCATTTCAAATCTTACTATTTTTTCATGTCTAAGCTACAAGCATTAAATGTATTTAACTTTTCAGATTTGTTACAATCATGTTTGTAAATATGTTTTATGTCTCTATTATTGTCGGTAAATAGCTTATTAACTTAACTATATTGTAATTTGTTAATCGACTTAGAATAAAGCTCCTTAATTGTATCTTGTATCTCAACTTTATATGGATATGTCTTTAAATTATAAGCTGTAACTCTAAGCTGGGATGTACGTATCGTATGTTCCAGCTCTAAGAGATAATAGTTCTAAACGAAGTAATGATGTTTATTTTAAAAGATAAGTGTGCTCTTATTTTTGTTTATAACCATATTTTATAAAATGTTGTTGCCCTAGAACGAATTTTTGTGGACTAGAGTTTTTTTTTATTACCGAAAAAATAATTTATGAAAGGTACACTTAATTTTTGGAAAATATTTAGTAATCCGTGATCAAAAACATTTGGTGGTCTACGCAAATTTACTAAACGTTACGACATATTTGATTGGTAGATAGATGTTAAAGTAGACCAATCAGTGTAAAGGTTATTTTTGATAACGAGTTTAGTGCTGTCAAAAAACGAGTCAAAACAAACAATAAAATTAAACTTTTTATTTTCATGTTTCATAGATTTATAGGATTAAAAATGCATTTAAGAAGTGGTAAAGGCATAGAATCAAGTAAAAGGGAAAGTGTTTCTAAACATAACGATGGTTTGTCGAAGAAATCACATGATTTGGACCATGCCCATGGCAAAACCGCAGTTAAAAATGAACAAAGGTTACAACGCACATCAACGATTTCATCAATCAGGTTTAAGTTATTTGGTGTTCGTTTAAAAGATCTGTTAAAGGAACCCAAGATTAGTTTATAATAGCATGGGTGAATTTCAAAGAAAATTGATATTGATGATAAAGAATAATTGGCAAAGGGTGGTTGCACACTTGGTTCAAGCAAGCAAAATGGTTGTTTACTTAACAAAATGGCTACCGCATCATGAATACTTATTACGCCTGCACGTATTTCCTCCATGTAATCGAGTTAGAACTTAGATTGTTTTCAGAATTTTTTTGAATTTGCCCTACGGGTGCTATAAGGCAATTTTATGACAGACTTGGTTCTAGGTTTCAGCTGCGTAGCTTCTGTTTTGACGAGGTTATTGAAGATATAAACTGGTCATGTAAAAAAGCAATAATGAAGTCAATGATACGTTCCTATATGCATCGAAAACTGGTTTATTTGGCACCGATTCGATTCTGATTCCAGAATTTCGATGCGATTCACAACCAAAAATCAAACACAGAAACAATGCGAATTTTAGTCCCTCTCTACCTACATGTAGTATACCGCTTTATTACGCAAAATAAGATTGGTTCATTTAACTAGGTCATCCATTCAGAGGCGCTTAATGTTTTCATTCCTTAAAGTAAATCATAATGGATTCAAACATCAATGTAGAAAAAATAAATCTAAAAATTCTCCAACAAAACTTACATAAAATGTGTGGGAATGCTTTGGGTTTCGGGAGGGTAAAGGATAAAGCAACATGTAAGATATGCTTTGCCGGCGTGTCATGTCCTTAGTCGTAAGTATACAACTAACTTGATGCAACTTCAGTTACCAGCCATGGAAAGAAAGATCTACTGATGTTGATGTGTTTTAAAAGTCTAGTTTTAGTTGGAGAAAAGTCAGATTTATAAGATTAATAGTCACATTATTGTGATAGTTTGTTGGATTAGAATTGTTTTTCTAATTTGAAATAAACCACTATTTAGTTTCATGAACACTGCTACTACTAATAAGTTAGGGATAAAATAAGTTGAGACAACTAAAAAAAGTTTAAAAAAATTGTCATGGGCCCCTGACTTTTACAGCAATTAAGCAGAATTGTCAACTAAAGACGTAAGTCACTTAGTAGTAATCACACATGAATTGAATGGAAAAAAATTAAATCTGGGTGTCTAAAATCGAATCAAACTTTTGGTGTATCATTGCAGCCCTATCATTAACTAGGAAGTTTATAATTACAGTTCCACAAAAAATGTACATATTTTTTAGCTATATTTTCAGATGATATTTGGCCATTTCTAAAGCATGATATGACATATTGATTTATAGAATATAAAATTATCTTTAAATGAATAATTTTAAGAGTTTTGGTTACAGATCTATGTAAATTATGGTTTTTTAACTAGTTCATATAATTATTTAAATAACTTTCATATAATTTAACAAGAGCTGGAAATTGACTAAATAATGATCAGATGAAATCGCTTTAGCTTTTTTATAAAAACTGTTTTATGATGATGAAACAGATTTTTAGCTCGACTATTCGATAAGAATAAGTAGAGCTATTGCAGTCACCCGAGCGTCGGCGTCGGCGTAACCACTTATGTTAAAGTTTTTGTAATAGTTCAAATATTTTCAAAGTCCATTGACATATGGCTTTGAAACTTTGCACACTTGTTCACCATCATGAGCCCAACCTGTAGACAGGAGGAGGTAACTCTATCAAGCATTTTGACAGAATTATGCCCCTTTTTCGACTTAGAATTTACGTTAAAGTTTTTGTAATAGTTCAAATATTTTCAAAGTCCATTGACATATGGCTTTGAAACTTTGCACACTTGTTCACCATCATGACCCAACCTGTAGACAGGAGGAGGTAACTCTATCAAGCATTTTGACAGAATTTATGCCCCTTTTTCGACTTAGAATTTACGTTAAAGTTTTTGTAATAGTTCAAATATTTTCAAAGTCCATTGACATATGGCTTTGAAACTTTGCACACTTGTTCACCATCATGACCCCAACCTGTAGACAGGAGGAGGTAACTCTATCAAGCATTTTGACAGAATTATGCCCCTTTTACGACTTAGAATTTACGTTAAAGTTTTTGTAATAGTTCAAATATTTTCAAAGTCCATTGACATATGGCTTTGAAACTTTGCACACTTGTTCACCATCATGACCCCAACCTGTAAACAGGAGGAGGTAACTGTATCAAGCATTTTTTTTACTATCAAGCACTAAGAATAGTCGAGCGTTGCTGTCCTACCGACAGCTCTTGTTTTCAATGCCAGCTTCTGACTTAAATTTTTATTAGGGTTTTTTAAGTTGAAATTACGTTTCTTATCACAATTCACATGTACATCTTCATTGTCCAAGAAAAAATACTATTTCGAGCCATAGTCAATTTTTTCCTTTGATCTTCTTGTCACCTATTTTAGTCAGCTCATCCGGTGGTCAACCCGTCCTTAGGTCAAATTGTCCCCTATTTTCTTTTATATCAAAAAGGTCATATATCATCAGAACAATTTTGTTTTACTCTTAGTATAATTTGATACTTGTAGCATGTGGATTACTAGAAAATTCCTAAACTTGACACTTGACCAAGATACATAGACCTTCATGCTTTACACAGGCTGATTATGATAAAGTTTCTATCATTATTGCAAGGTTCGTTGCCTTAATATTAAAACCTGCAGAAGAGATATTTCTTTTTGATCTGTTTGTATCAAAAGGTGTCTGTAAATATGCATACATGTACCTACATTATATTACATATGTTTCTTGTATGGTAACTATTACATATGTACAAATAGAAAAACAAGGTTCTTTATTGATCATAAAATTATCATGCCTCTTTATGCATATACATCTACAATAAACCATTGTGTCTGAGTGGATTATCTCATCTTTCATATAAATTAAAATAACCATACATAGTAGCAGTATATAAAATTAATAATTATAATGAAAAAAAAACCCTTAGAATATACCAATATCATTTTGATATTTTCAGCAAATACATATTTTTCAAATTGGCAAAGACTTTATCTGTGGTAGCAGTTGTGTTGTATGTAGTCATACCAGTGGTAGTAAAGACAAATCCATGGATACAGAACAAGGTCATCTTTCTCAATAACTGTAAGTTCTCAAATCTTTTAACCGCTATTTTATTTGAAAATTACTGGAAATTTCATTTTCATTTCAATTTTCTATGGCATTGACTGGTGAACTGGTTGTTTCATGTTATTTGTACTTTTACAGTAAGATGGCCTCCATTTATAGACTTTACAGCTCCAGAAGGTTTTGGTCTAGAATCCACAAGAAATTTCTACTTAACAACTGACCAGAACATTAGACTAGGACTCTGGTAAGAAAATGATAAATAAATATATATAGTTAACCATGATCCTGCAATAAAAATTGCTGGTTTGAGTCAAACTTTGACTGACTGCAACATTATTTCATAAAGTAACTGTGTGACTGGTCAACCTTTTCAGTGACATTAATTTGCTAAAGGCATGATTCAGATGAATATCCAACATAAACAACTTTTTATGTTGCTTTCACATCATTACATGTTGATATTTGAATCATATTTATATAAGATATTTGCTTTTATTTCACATGATATTATATGACTGCTGGCACGAGAAAAAAACCATGAACACGATTCTTTAAATAGCTCAATATTAGTATTAGATTTTTTACTTTCTTCAAATTATGGGATCTGAAATGGGCTTTTCAGAAGAGAAAAAAAATAATCATTTGTTCTACACATAGTAATCAGTTATTTTTTTATGAGTTACAATGTATATTGTTTCCATGATTATATTCAGGCATGCCTTACCTGAGAGTTTGAGAGATTCCAAAGTGCCAACAGATTATTACACAGATTTGCTCAAGAGTTCAAAGCCAATTATTTTATATCTTCATGGAAATTCTGGCACAAGGTAAAATATTTATTTTTAGCCCACATCAAGCTTATGTCATGCCATTTCATCTCTCACTGGTTATTTTCCACAATTTCTGTAAACAACATCTCCTAAACCACATGGTGGATTCTGACTAAACTGTTCAAGAATATTACTTTCATGTGGTATAAGTTATATAAATGATTCCAGTCTGATGAATGGGTAGGTCACACAAGCCAAAAGTAGACTTTGAAAATTAAATCTTTAAAATACTTCTCCTGAGAAACTAAAAAGTTTTGTACATCATGCTACGGTAAAAAATGACTCATCCAATTTATCCAATGCATGTATAGAAGAATTGTGATTTTTCTAGTAATGAGTGCTACCATGGCCCTTTGGTTCTTTTTAAATTTCTATATTCAGACTATAACCAAGTTGTTGTCCAATCAGCATAATTAAAATAACATAATAACTATAGATTCATATAATAACTTTCCTCGTATATGTACTACAGGGCAGGATGGCATAGAGTACAGCTGTATAAAGTTTTAGCTAATATGGACTACCATGTGATAGCTGTTGATTACAGAGGTAAACATGATTCATCTATTTCTTCAATTTGCAAGCTCGTTTTATTGCTAAAAATGATTGCAAGCTCTGCCAAAAAAAATATTGAATAAAATAAAACAATTGTAGTCTTTTCTTGGAAGCATTAGAGTAAAACAACTGCTTCAGGTGCAGGATCTGTGTGATGAAATCCTGTCATACTAAATGTGTAAAAAAGTTTGTTACTCCCATGACAACTAAGTATTAAAAAATAGAACTATTTTATACAGTCATTCAGTTCAAGCAATGGGTTGTCATAGTAGAATGTGTTTCACTGTCAACTTAAAATAATGTATAACATTTAATTTGACAGGGTATGGAGATTCATCAGGGAGTCCATCAGAAGATGGTGTTGTGTCCGATGCTCTTTTTGTATACAGGTGGATCAATCAACATAAAGGAGATACTCCAATCTTTATATGGGGACATTCTCTTGGAACTGGGTATATTTTGTTTTTACAAATCTAAGAATTTCAATGTATTTAGTACGAAGAAGATGTTTCATTCATACATGTGTTAAAGATAAATGTTTAAACTTTAAGTATTTGAAAATATGACAGGAAAAGGTCACTTATTCAAGTCAATACACAGGAAAAAAATACTTAAAATGTTGATAATGTATGGTGTAAACATTATAAGTATATGTCATGTTATATACTTAAATTGATAAAGTCATGTACCCATGTGGTGTATTTTATGTTTAACATTATGACTGTAATATATATGCATGTACATGTATACATGGTGGTTGCAGTTGAAATAAATATGAGCCGCGTCACGACAAAACCAAAGAAACTGATAGCGAACAGCATGGATTCTGTTCAGACTGCGAGGATGCGCAGGCTGGTCTGGATCCATGCAGGTCGCAAACCCATTACCAGGGCCTTTTTACCCTTCTTTGCTGTAGCCTGTATCAAGCTACTTCCCGAAGCCAAATTACTACCTTTTTTCCCCAAAAAACAGTCTAAAATTCCCCTTCTGGCAAATATTTCCCCTTTAACTGAAGAATAAAACTTGTAAACAAACTTTCTTTGGGAAACCAAATGTGTAGCCTCATTAAATAAAGACTTTACTTACTTACTTACTTACTTACTTCTTGTTTAAAAATAGATAATTGTTTTGTCCAATGAAAGCTAATAATTCAATAACGCAATACAGTGTAAACTGATAATAATGTACCCTCTGAATCAAACCAAGAACCCTCACATGACCAATGTAAAATACTATAAATAGGAAATATGAGTTAATATAAAGGGGCAATAAATTGATCTGTAAAAACTGTCTTTTACTCCTGTTGGACAGAAAGCTTAGTACTATAGTAAACTTTACATGTGATTGGAGGAAGATATGCAAATAAATTATGATATTCCTCTGAAATGTGTGAAAATATGATATTTTCCCCAAAAGTGTGAAAATCACGCATTTTTTCCCCACAAAAAGGGCTAGGGCGCCTTCCCCAAAACTAGTGAAAAGGCCCTGATTACGTTGGTTTTGTCATGGCGCGGCTCATATGTACTAGTATATAGAAAAAAGTTAATGACCAAAGAATGCTTACTGATTATAATTGAGCATTTTAAAGGTTAATGTTCGACAACTCAACAAGTATGATGTTCTATGCCTTACCAATGATGTATTGCAAGAAAAGGACATGAATTTATTTCCCAGACAAAAACTCTTGAGTTTCTGTTGTGTAAACAATATCCACATAGATGAAGAACAATTTATATAATGGATATCTAATTACAAAACTAGAACTGTCAGTTTATTATATGCAGGAAGATTGTACATATTATAGCCTATATTGTTGAACGTTCAGCCTCAGCGAAACTCTTGTTAAATAAGGGATTTCAAGACAGATATGCTAAAAAAAGTGTAGTCAACTGCCAATTATACACAACTAGATCAGAATAATTCTGTGTTCATATTGAATGTTTACTCTTATTTCAATGCTATGTTAAATGATTTCAGGGTAACAACAAAGTTAGCTCGAACACTCTGTAGAAATAGTGAGTACATCTCTTTTGTTTCTAAATTCATATGTTTTATTATACTTTTGAAGACTTTTTTGTAATAATGTATTTCTTTAAAACATTTTTTGTAATCAATGTAAATCTTTTTATTTTCATTAAATTTGAGCTAGCAAAAGTTCTCAATATTTTGATTTGGCAAAGATTAATTTTATCAAAGGTGATTTTCTTAATATTCAATGTAAAACACTATATTGTATACATGTATTTATACCCCCACAAACGAAGTTTAGGGGGGGTATATAGGAGTCAGCTTGTCGGTCGGTAGGTCGGTCGGTCGGTCCGTCGGTCGGTCCACATCATGGTTTCCGGACGATAACTAGAGTTTGGAATGAGGTATTGTAATCAAACTTGGTATATAGCAACCTTATATGGAAACTCCGGTTGGTATTGCATTTGGACCCCCTGGGGTCAAGGTCAAGGTCACCGTTACTAAAAATAGAAAAATGGTTTCCGGACAATAACTAGAGTTAGGAATGAGATATTGTTATCAAACTTGGCGTATAGCAAGCTTATATGAAGACCTGGGTTGGTATTGCATTTGGGCCCTCTGGGGTCAAGGTCAAGGTCACAGTTACTAAAAATAGAAAAATGGTTTCCAGACAATAACTTGACTTAGGAATGACATACTGTAATCAAACTTGGTGTATAGCAAGCTTATATGAAGACCTGTGTTGGTATTGCATTTGGACCCCCTGGGGTCAAGGTCAAGGTCACCGTTAGGAAAAATAGAAAAATGGTTTCCGGACAATAACTAGAGTTAGGAATGAGATATTGTAATCTAATTTGGTGTAAAGGAAGCTTATATGAAGACCTGGGTTGGTATTGCATTTGGACCCCCTAGGGTCAAGGTCACGGTTACAGTGTTACTAAAAATAGAAAAATGGTTTCCGGACAATAACAAGAGTTAGAAATGAGATATTGTTATCAAACTTGGCGTATAGCAAGCCTATATGAAGACTTTGGTTGGTATTGTATTTGGGCCCCCTGGGGTCAAGGTCACAGTTACGAAAAATGGTTTTCGGACAATAACTAGAGTTAGGAATGAGATATTGTAATCTTATTTGGTGTATAGGAAGCTTATATGAAGACCTGGGTTGGTATTGCATTTGGACCCCATAGGGTCAAGGTCACTGTTACAGTGTTACTAAAAATAGAAAAAATGGTTTCCTGACAATAACTAGAGTTAAGAATGAGATATTGTAATCAAACTTGGTGTATAGCAAGCTTATTTCGAGACCCCAGTTGCGATTACAATTAATTGAAATATTTCTTTGTACACAGTTGATAGTTTGTGTTCAAATTTTTCTTCAGACTACTTTTTTTTCAAAAAGTCAAAGTTGTTGGTGGGGGTATTAATCACCTTCAGTGATAGGTCTAGTTTATATTATTGTAAGTTGAAGACTAATTATGAACTGAAGACAAGTTTTATCTGTCATACACTAACATCACAACTATGCTAGTATATAGAGAATAATAGGTTGGTGCCGTGGATGGAGAAAGTTTATCTGGCGAGGCGGAGGAATTTATTGGGTGAGCCGAAGGCGAACCTAATAAATTCCGGAGCAGAGCCAGATAAACTTTCTCCATCCACGGCACCAATCTATTATTCTATTTATCCTGTCACCGTTTTTTTTAAAAGAATTTTATTAGGCAAACTACCTTTTAATCACACTATCGGAAATGTTTCTATATAAACAAAGAAGGCCCAATGCGTGCATTATTCTACAACAATGCACCTGTGAATTTTCACATTGAGGGCGCCATTTTGTTTGAAAAATGTGATAAATATAAACAATTTTTTGTCGAATTTTGTTGTGAAAACTATCTAGAATGAAAGAAAATGGTCTAACTAAGAAAATGAATTCGAACACCAATATCTTTTATTCAGTCGTTAACGCTGTACAGACGTTTAAAGTATTGTTTACGTGACGTCACAATGTAGCGCCAAACAGCATGTGCAAAACAATCAAATCAAGTACGCTAGTTTAATGTCGCAAACGAGTTGAGTTTTACATTTATTTCACTTTTAAACAGCCTGTAAAGAACGTTTCTATTGGAAACTCTGAGGCGAAAACAAATTTAACCACCAAACATAAAGTCCAACATTATAATAATAATTATATTTTTTCTTGAAAAGTAGTCCGGCAAACATGCATACCACGTGATCAAGTGCCGTAGATCAGTAAAAATATACGGCACCTTGTTATCGGGCCGAAATTGATACAAGTGACAGGATAAATATCTGTACACATTACTGCTCCAAATAGCCTGTAAGTTTTTATGAAGTTGATATATATTATTATTTTTATAGATGAAGCACCGGATGGTGTGTTTCTGGAATCTGGGTTCAACAATATACTAGATGCTGCCACATACCATCCCATGGCTAGCGTAAGATATAAGATATCTAACATTTACCTTGTTGATTTTGAGAAATGTCTGTCATTACTTTAAGGGAACTCAATATCAAACTGCTAAGAATTACATACCAGTATAGAATCTAGTCAGACAGCAAATATGTACTGCATTACCTCCCTTGATTATCAGTTTTATCATTCAAAGAATAACTATAGATGTACATAATGTTTTTTGATTACGGTGAGTCTGTAGAATAGATATTGTTAGTGGCTGTAAGGAATAATAATTACCAAAATAAAAATATGTTGCAAAATATATCATTTTTTTGTAAAGATTTATTTGCTGGGAATTTATAAAAGTTACTTTACTGATGGGGTTGTGTTATTTTGCTTGACAATTTTAATTGGACTCTTGTTTTTTAGTGGCTGTAAGGAATAATAATTACCAAAATAAAAATATGTTGCAAAATATATCATTTTTTTGTAAAGATTTATTTGCTGGGAATTTATAAAAGTTACTTTACTGATGGGGTTGTGTTATTTTGCTTGACAATTTTAATTGGACTCTGTTTTTTAGTGGTCACTCACTGCCATCATTATTTAGGGAAAAATTATTTTGACAAAATGAAATTTTAAAATCTAAAGCAAACGAAGATGTTTACATCTTCACTAATCATGGATTTTGTTGATTTTGTTATAAGCAAATAAAAGTTGATTAAGTGATTTGTATTTGTCTAAAATTGCATGTTAAATTTTATTCTTTTGTCATTTTTTAGCCTTTTAGATTTATACCTTGGTTTAACTGGCTATTTCTGGAGACTATAACACATAATGACATACATTTCCAGAGTGATGTTAGGTAAGTTAGTTATACACTATTTCTGTGTGAATCAAACAAAACTTGGAGACTATATCTATGGTATATGTTTACATATCACTGAAAGTAACACAGTTTCATGCTAACATTTATTTCTACTCTAGTTTCAATAGAAATATAAATACTTGATTCAAATTACCCTTGATAACTAGTTATTCTATTAACAGTCATTACATGTAGTGTGTAAAAAATAAGTAATCAATCATAATTCCAAGAAAAATATTTCTGGCAGATATTTGACATTAAAACTGTTTGATATTTCAGTATTGCTGATGTTTCACCTCCATTGTTGATTCTCCATGCAGAGGATGACGTGATTGTGCCATATCATCTTGGAGTGAAGGTTTCTATATGTTTTATTTATACTTCAAAGATTTAAAAGTGTAGTAAAATGATATGTCTATATTATGTATTGCTACAAAGTTATTTGCTTTTTAATTCATATCTGTTTTATATTTATGTACAAACTGTTATTTGTTATATATTTTGTTGCATTATATGTATTTTTATTTTTAGTGACTGTTGGCATTTAAGTGGTCAAATGGCTAATCTCCAACTTTGTTTGTTGAGAATGACCTCAGGAGCTCCTTTGTGCATTGTTTCAGGCTAGGAATGAGACGGATGTCCTGAAAGGTTCATGATATGTAACATAAACATGTTATTATATTACAGTTATACGAGGCAGCTGTGAAGACCAGACCACAGACGTATGGAGCAGCAGAGTTTGTTTCCTTTAATGCCAGTCATCGTTATGGTCATAAACTGATCTTTATGGCTCCAGAATTACCAGATATCATCAGGTATACACAGAATTCTTATCTGAATCAAGTCAAATCTCCAAATATGTCTTATGGTTTGTTCATATAAACAGCAACCTTCTTATGTGAAATAATTTATTTTATCATATACCTGTGCTGATTCTCTAACTATATGAAAATGTTATGGCCTGGCTGTGGATATATTTTGACATGATGATTGTTGATGTAATATTGTATGTGTTATTGAAATATTGTGCAAAATGCGCTGAGTGTTCGTCTTATGTTTAGATATGGCAATTGTACCTGTAAAAATGTTAGTAGCGTTGACTATTTTATTTGTACATCTGATATGTTTAAGTTTGTCGATAGTTTGACTGTGCACGATTTTTGCCCTATGTATTCTGATGTCCATTGCCCGATCTCACTTTTATTAGATTTTTGCAACAAGCCTTTAAATGAATCAACACCAAAGTTAAATAAATTCACGATATTTGATCAAGATAAAGCACATGTTTATTGTTCTAATATCAAGGAAGATAGGCTTTGTGATATCTACTCAAAGCTTTTTGAATATAGAAACGCTTGATAATATAGGCAATGAGTTAAATGAAAAGTAACTGAGGAAATTTCCGAATTGCTTGTACAATCTTCTGAAGAAACGTTCGGTGTTGAAATACATAAACACTAAAAATAATGATAATAATCATAATCATTATAATAATGAAAAAAATAAACAAAAACAATGGTTTGATAAATAATTGCTATATAGAGCTAGAAAAAAATTTCATTCTGCCAAACATCTCTATAAATTACGGAAAAGCGACGAAAATAGAATAAATCTAAAAAATCAAAGTAAACAATATAAAAATGTGCTGCATGAAAGTCATAAAAAATTTGTATTCTCTAATGTAGAGAAACTTAAGAAACTCAAATCACAATCGCCTCGAAAATTTTGGAAATTATTAAATGGAAAGAAAAAAAATAAAATAGGTGCAGACATAAATCAACTTTACGACTATTTTAAAGATATAAACTACTGTGAGGAAACTGACTATGTTGAAAATGATAATTTAATAAATATGGAAACAAATGAATTCTTAAACAAACCCATAACAATACAAGAAATTGAAAAAGCTATCAAACATTTGAAAAATAATAAAGCCAGTGGTATTGACAATGTATTGAATGAACATTTAAAAATATTCGTTTCCCAAAACTAAAGAAGTATTTCTTAAATTATTCAATATAGTATTCAAAACAGGCAAAATACCTATCGCATGGACTTCAGGTTTTAGTAAACCCAATATTTAAAAATAAAGGTAACCCTTCTGATCCATCAAATTATCGACCAATAACCCTTTTAAGCTGCCTTGGTAAATTGTTTACGTTAATCTTAAATAACAGACTAGAACAATATTGTACTGACAACGACTTAATTGATAAATGCCAAGCCGGTTTCCGTAAAGGTTATTCAACAGCAGATAACTTATTTGTTTAAATTCGCTAATAGAAATTCTAAGAACCAGTAAAAAATCTTTATTTTGTGCTTTTGTCGACTTAAAGGCAGCATTCGATACTATTTGGAGAGAGGGTCTTTGGGGAAAACTTATTCTTAACAATATAAATGGATCTTTCTTAAATGTTATAAAAAACATGTATGAAAAAGCTAAGTCATGCATTTTTTGTAAATGGAGTAAAAAACTGATTACTTCCCTTGTAATGTCGGCGTCCGACAGGGTGAAAATTTATCTCCCCTGCTTTTTTCTCTATACTTAAATGATCTAAGTGATTTTATTAACAGTAGTAATATAGCATCAGGTGTAAAATGCAACAAACATGAGTTTCGAAACAGAAGCTATAAATTTTGTAAAACTTTTCATAACTTCTTTATGCAGACGACACCGTTTTTAATGGCAGAATCTGCAGAAGACTTGCAAAACCTTTTAAATATCTATGCTGATTACTGTGATGCTTGGAGACTTAAATTAAATTCTTCTAAAACAAAAGTACTTGTATTTTCAAGAGGTAGACAACGCGAATACACTTTTACATTCAAAAACGAAACTTTAGAAATTGTAAATGAATACAAATATTTAGGTGTCTTATTTAACAGATCTGGTTTCTTTTTTCAAAACAAAGCAAGAAATTGCCAAACAAGCTACAAAAGCTATGTATTCTTTAATTAAAAAATGCAAACATCTCTGCTTACCTATAAATATTCAAATTGATCTTTTTAATAAAATGGTTAAACCTATACTTTTATATGGTTGTGAAATCTGGGGATTTGGAAATTTAGACATTGTTGAAAGAGTGCAACTTAAGTTTTTAAAACATATTTTATGTCTTAAAAAAAATACCTCAGATATAATTGTTTATGGTGAAACTGGTACCAAACCGTTATCAATTTAGTTAGAAATTAAAGCAAGGATGATTTCATTTTGGGCAAAACTAATTGTAACAAATTACAAAAAGCTTACAACAGAAATATATGCAGTTGCATTGAGTAATTTTAAAAATAGTCACTCAAATTTCAATTTCAAATGGATAACTTGCATAAAAGATATTTTTATAGAATGTGGAATGGCTAATATTTGGATGAGTCATGAATTTCCTAACGTAAATTGGCTGGTTAAATCAGTTAAACAAAAATTATTCAGATATATTCATAAATCAGTGGTACTCAGGTCTAGAAAACACATCTAATTGCAAAAATTATTGTATTTTTAAAAGAAAATTTGAAATTGAGAAATATCTTAGTGAAACACCTTCCAAATATTTAAAATATATTGATCAAATTCAGAACCAGAAAATCATAAACTACCGGTCGAAACTGGAAACTGGCATAGAATCCCTTTAGAACAGAGAAAATGCACTCTCTGCAATCATAACATAGGCGACGAATTTCATTTTCTATTAGAATGCCCAAATCTTAACACGGATAGAAAAAAATATATCTCTGAAATCTATTATAGAAATCCAAATATAATAAAGTTTGATAAATTAATGAACACTGACCCCTCAAATTATGTGATATATAAAAAACTTTGCATGTTTATAAAAATAATCTTAGAAAAATATTGAACTGAATTATTATATTAAACTTTGATAAATATTTTTGAAATAATTCATTTTATTTTGTATGAATGTAAAACTTTCTCCTGTCTATGTTAAAAGAATATTGTAAGATGTGTGAGTTACATACTATTAACCTCGTTAACATTTGTAATTTGTTATTTACCTCATATTTACATGTATTGTGTATTGAGTGAATAATAAAATCTTGATCTTGATATGTGTATTTTATACTTGAAACATTGAAAAGTATAGTAAAATGATGTGTCAATGAAAAAATTACACTTTATTACTGTAAACTGTTTGTATTTTGTGGATGTGATAAAAACATTGTCATATTTGTATAGCATTATTACAAAATTTATTGAATGTGTTGAATAGATAATATTAACACCTAGATGCATCTGTTAGTGTAACAGATATCAATATAAAAGTTACATAAACTTATTATCTTAATTTTAAAATTGCATCCAAAATGAGACGAAAAATGTTTTATGTGGCATGACATTCTTCGAGTTTTGAAAAACAAGCAAGTTCTTCAAAAAAAGGGATATTTTTAAGTTGTGTTTACCTATAATTTTTTATAGTTAAGCATCATTTATTTATTATTCACATAATTATGTATTTCTTTGCAGGAAATTTATGAAGAGGTGCTTGGATGGCAAGAAATGATTCAAGAAGTGATAATTGAAATATTTGCTCAGGAATTTTGATAGAAATTTTATATAGATTTTATTGTAGGATCCATAATTGTTTTAACAGTATTGATGTGTATTATAGTACATGATTATCTGTGATGTTTTATTATAAAATTAATTGAAATCTTTCTAACAGGCAAGTGACAGTGTTATCTAAAATATGATTTAACCCTTTATTGGTGTAATCAAAGCATTTTTGAAAAACTTTCCTGTATTTTATTTGATAAGCTTATATGTCTAGTTTTATATATAAATGAGTTTTTTTAACTTCAATACATGTGGTAAGAATGTCTGATCTAGTTTAGATTGATTCCTTGGGCAGAAGGTCAAACATCTTTTACTACATGTATGATATGAAAGATCTTGATAGTCTTCATATAGCATGTAGTTAGGCTAATAGTATCAATTGTAAAATATTAACACTATTGCTTAAGATAATAGACTCACAATAAACAATATGTAACAATATGAATTAGATGGTATAAGATATTTTATGTGTGCATTCATCTTTCCTGATTTTATCACATATGTAACACACAATGTTCCATGTTCATTGTTTTTGTCTCATTGTTTATGTTTGAATACGATTTTAATAGAATTATTTTTTTTACCTAATGAAGGAAACGTTTTACACTTGTCACTGTGGATAGGTCATGCTGGTGATACCTGATAGTGAAGTCCATATGTGAATAGATTGTGTGTTAGTTAAAAAACAGAGTCCTTCATATTAATTTTTTGTCAAAACTTGACTGAAGGTTACTAGTGACAATAGTATTCTATCTTGCACTTGATTTTCTTGTTGGCTTTTCAGACTTTTACAAAATTCCCTTCATTTAAAGTGATAATGAGCAACATTAAACATCATGTTAACAAGTAACACCTAAAAAAAACACAAGTAACACCACAAAGCAGTGTTTTGATTCACAGATTTACTGTAACACAAGATATAAAATTATTTTTTTTATTTTTTTTGTGGCATTATTATTAAAACTGTAGATGTATCAAATTTTTCCTTTATTTCCAGTTACACTAATATTTGCTGTGATATTCTATAATTAGATTTAATACAATCATTCCTTGTTTGTTAATGTTTAAGGATCTGAATACTAGTATATAGCAATATTGTAGAGATAATGTAGAAATATAAGGTAGTTTTCAGTTAGTTTATTTTTTATCATGTGTACAAATAGTCTATTGCTAAAGCAAAAGAACAAACTTTTGTATTGCATTTAGGTTTATCTAGACCCTGTTATTTAGTTTGTATGAATTGGTGTTACTGTATTGTGTTCCTTTGTTTTGGATTTATAGGTCACCTGACCACAATGTGTTCATGGTGAGCTTTTGAGATCCACTCTGTTGATCGTCCATTGATGTGCTTAGTGTGTTCTCATTGATTTTTTTAAACAACATCTCTAAAATGGATGACTGGATTTGGACCTTCACAGGAATGAAAACTTTGTTTGGGTTTGTTGCATAAGTCAGGTCAAAATAAAGGTTTTAAAAACACAAATTTTAAAAATCTTCAATTCTTAATCTAAAAGGCTAGAACTTTAGTAAGTGGTATATATGGTCATCTAGAGGTCTAGTATATAGCTATATTTTTATGTTTGTATCTATTTTTTGTTAGTGTATTTTCTGTTCATTATCATAATTAGAAATTATAATTTGCTATATCTCTGAAAATTATTAAATTCTTATTTGATCTGTTTTGAATATTGTTCTCATTTTGATTTTGTATTTGAAATATTTGGTGAATGTTTGTTTTATTTCATTGACTTGAATGGAGATGTGTGGAAATGATTGGTTTTATTCTTAAAGAGAATGGTTAATTTTGTAACTTTTTGTGTGAATAATATTGAATTTATCATTTGAAAGCTTCATTTATTGTGGGGAACAACCATATGATTTGTAATGAATAGAAGGTATTCGTTATGACCATTTACATTCTAGTCAATTTATAATCTATATGCCATGAAGATAGGCACAATAAAAATATCTTAAGATAATGTCATCTGGGTTTCACATTGGAACACTAGATTATAAGTTAAAAAAAAGCTTAATGATGTGTAAAAGTTGATATTAAAACAAATATAACATTCAGAATTTTCAGTGACATGATTTGAATTATAGCACTCTAAAACCTCATTTGTATTTGTCAAACTCTAGACATTATTTACTTTTATAATATTCTTTAGCCATAAATAAAAAGAAACAACAAAGTCATTAAACAATTAAACAGCAGATTTTATGGGATCATTCCTTATTAAATGCTATACTAAATGCAACAGTTGTTGTGGTATCTACATGTATATTACATCGTATAGATTGATATGACATGAAGTGTTCAATATTATTGTTTTAGTGTTCTGCATTTTGATGGTCTTAAAAAATGCATTAAATTGGTTGTACAAATACAATTGGAAACTAATGATATGTTTTTCAAGATTATTCGTGAATTCAAAATTTTCAAATTTCTGAAAGCTTGCTTTTTTATAGTTAAGTAAAAGTTAGAAATGTTTAATTCTGAGACTGACTGTTAGGATTGTTTAGATTTTCAATTGTTAACCTAGAATACATGTAGCTCTATGCCCTTATAACACATGTACATTGTATATACTTATTTTTCTCTCTGTAACCTTTTCAATTCTCTTATTTTGACTTGCATGCTTTGTACTTGTTTGTTATGATTTGCCAAATTCTTAATTACTTCATTATTACTGCATTAGATTAATTGGGTGAATAGTACTTTGACAAGTATTTTTACTGGCTAAATCTAGCAGATTTGTACATTTAGATAATCTTTTAGCTTTGTATTTATGCAAGTGATGGTAATGTGTGATCTAGCATATGGATCCTTCATGTTGTAATAGTTACAAGTTAATTATGCTGCAAGGATATTGCATGGTGTTACGTTTTTCTTCTATGATTTAGCAGATGTTATGAAATTGATTTCTAAATGAAAGTTAATGGCTGCACTATTTTAGATTTGTAATTACTTTTTTTCTGTGTTTATATTTCCATTGATTTAAATGTTATCCATTTGATGTGCATTTATTTAATTTTGATTGGCTTGCATATATGTGTTTACTTTTGTTAGGTGCTGTGTTAATATGTTTTGTTTGACATCATAGTTTTCATAAATTGGCATCTATAGATAATGAGAGATATATCATGAGATTGATTCGAGAGTTAAAGATTTTCCTGTTATATATTGAACATTATGAACGATTAATAGATATAATTTTCTCCCATTTATCTGACAAATCTGTTGAGAAAAGAATAATTAATGGCTTTTATAGGTTGTTAACATGCAAACGTATAAGGAATTGATGTGTTACATTTGGTTTGAAATAGATTATACTCAGGAAGTTTAATATTAAAAGCAATAAATTACCTGGGAAGAAATGTAAAAGATTTCTTGGACTGTGAATTACACCTGTTATTGTACATCTATATTACTATTGATGGTAGAAGGTATTAAACTTTGGTGTTTGTGATTTGTTATATGTATAATAATATCTGCATTTAGTCCTAGATGAGATTTTAAATTTCAATACCACAGGCAATGTTGGTATAACTTTTCCTAAAGGTACAACTTTAGTTGATACCCTTGTTTTGTGAAGGTTTGTATCAAACACAGGGTATATTTTGGAACAGAGTTCATGTAGTAGCTTGGTACATTAGCTAGTGTTTTGCTAAGATTATATTTTACGTGTTGCCAAGTGCTTATGATGTAACAATGCACAATCCTTTACCAGCCATTAGCTCAATTTCTGTCTCAAAAAGGTTAAATTTTTTATGTGGAATGCAATATTTGATATAATTTTTCACATTTGTTATGTTTTAATCTTACAAGCAGATGAACAATATAAAGTCTAGCATGTTAAACAGTATAAAACTGTTTTCAACTGTCTTTAATCAGTGAAATATTTGTTATAAATCTTACCTGTAGACATACTGTAACCCAATTTATATTCGCGAATACAAATTTTCGCGTTTTGCCGAGGTCGGACATATTCGCGAATATTAATTTCCGCGTTTTCTTGATTTCCGAAAAAAAAAATTCGCAGATTGGAAAGTCCGATGGGGCAGTAAATCCATTAGCCGACTATTAATCTTCAATAATTGAGGTCATTATTGGTGTCTTAAATGGGATTAACAATACGCTAGCCTTATATTTTATTGGTAAGTGAATTGTGATCACAATTCATCAAAACATTTTCTCTATATATGTACATCTACGCATCGTTCGTCTTCATTTTATCTAGAAAAGTCTTTAAGAAATTCAATTTAAGCGTTTCATAAAAAAAATACCTTCTCCAATCAGGGATCGAACCGAGAAAATTATGTTATATGAGTCCGCAATCTAACCAATTGAGCTATACAGGCTGTTAAGATTGACGGGTAAAAATCGATACAAGTATGAAACCATCTTGTATTTCACTGTTTGTAATTATGTACATCCAATACCCTTTTGTGATACTCGATAGGTTTATACCACCTTTATCTTAACAATTCACTCAAACAATTATTTTATAGGATCCAAAAAACAATAGCCTTTTGTGATGCTCGATAGTTTCCCACTTTTGTCAAACAATTATTTTCAAATAAGTGCGAGTACTTTGTATGCATATACTTAGTATAGAAGTGTAAATATGAAGAAACTTAAAACTGACACATGCTCCGTATAGTACCCTATACGGAACGTGATTGACAATAGGCCTACTAGTATTTCATAAACTGTATTAAAATGAGGATGTTTATTTTGATTGTTATATTGACATAGAGTTCTTTTGATATTTATAAAATAGTAGTAGTTTACTTAGTTTGTGTTTTTATTGCTTTATGGCAATATTCATAACAATTCATTACTTCCTAACAGGTGCCCGTAAAATTCGAATATATTCGGTCAAGTAGCTTTGCATAGCCACGTCTAAAATAAGAATTTCTCTCCAATTTATTCGCGAAATCGTGCGGACTTATTCGCGCAAACAAATATTCGCGCTTCATGGCCATCCGCGAATAAAGCGAATATTAATTGGTCGCGAATATTCGTTGGGTTACAGTATATTGAATGAATAATGTTTATACGTTTCCATTAAAGCAGTCTGACAGAGTCAGTACTAATCTATAGTTGTTAAATATTTTGTAAGGATTTTTTAAACTCTTTTTCTTTGTGAAATAGACCCTCTTTTTCCAAGTAAAATAGATCAAATACTTTCTGTTTGAATTCTTTGATTTAAATATGATTTATCTGAATATGAAAATAGCATGATTGTACCATTTATGAGATATGTATAGTATATTTTACTACTAGTATGGTTTACATCCTAGTATAAGTATTGATGTATGATATATATTACTTTATAGACTGTTACATGGTTAACTGGCAGATGCTGTTTTATGAAATATAAGAATGATGTTTTGTTGTGGTTTAATTATGCCCCCACTTCGAAGAAGAAGGGGTATATTGCTTTGCACTTGTCGGTCCGTCGGTCCATTGGTCCGTCGGTCCGTAGACCAAATGGTTCCGATCAATAACTAAAGAACCCTTAGGCCTAGGAACTTCAAACTTGGTATGGTGATTGTTTATGACCAGCAGATGACCCCTATTGATTTTGGGGTTAAGGGGTCAAAGGTCAAGGTCACATTGACCTTGTAGGTAAAAACGGTTTCCAATCAATAATTAAAGAACCCTTAGGCCTAGGGAGTTCAAACTTGATATGGTGATTGGTCATGATCAGTAGATGAACCCTATTGATTTTGGGGTCAAGGGGTCAAAGGTCAAGGTCACATTGACCTCTTGGGTAAAAACGGTTTCTGATCAATAACTAAAGAACGCTTAGGCCTAGGAACTTCAAACTTGGTATGGTGATTGGTCATGACCAGCAAATGACCCCTATTGATTTTGGGGTTAAGGGGTCAAAGGTCAAGGTCACATTGACCTTGTAGGTAAAACGGTTTCCAATCAATAACTTAAGAACCCTTAGGCCTAGGAACTTCAAACTTGGTATGGTGATTGGTCATGACCAGTAGATGACCCCTATTGATTTTGGGGTCAAGGGGTTTATGTCATATTGACCTGTACTTAATGACGGTTTCTGACCAATAACTCAACAACTCAAGTTGCCTTGGTTGATATTTTTATATTAAACTAAAAATGCTTTTGGTATACACATTTGAAGGTCTTATGTAATATAACAACTTGGCTGTCATTAATAAGGCCTTCATTATTCATAAAATTTATGCATATATTATTTGGTAAGATTTGTAATAACTTAAATTGCTGCACACAACCTATGGGGTCACAATAATTATTACCTTGTGACTAGTCATGACCAGTAGATACTAGATAACCCTTATTAATTGTTTGTTCACTGGGTCAGAAGTCATGCATAATAACCTGATCACATGACTAATTGGCTGCCGATAGGGGGCATACATGTTTTACAAACATATCTTGTTTTAAAAGAAGTGTAAAGTATTTCATTTTCTGTTAAGTATTGTTATGCTATACCGGTAAATATCACATGTTGACAGTTATTTGATGGTTATGATCAGGTCGAGTAGTTTTGTTTTATAAATCTTTGAGCAAAAAAATAAAAAAATAATAAGCAGCTTATCTTTACTGAACAGAATTAGATTAAAATAAACAATGATTATAGTATTAAATGTGACACATGACAGTGTAAAAACATTATTAATAAAGGACACATTGTTTCTTACTGAACTGGCTAATCCATTTATACATGAATGAGCTGGTGTATCAAAATTAAATACAAAATTATTTATCTGGTTTTCCAAAACTTTGTCGCATATTCTCAGATATAAGGAAAAGTGGTTTGTAATTGGAAATGTATTTTGTATTGTTCATTTTCTAGATCGTTTATTTATCATGTCTGTATAACAAGTCATTTAACACACTTAGGCACTTGGTATTTATGGTGAAATAAAGTTTTCTTGTTGTTGTTTTTTCTTTTTGATATTGAACAGTTTATCTGAGATATTTATAATGTACATTTTGTAATACAGCTTTCTTGTTAATTATAATTGCATATTGATATATTACAAACAACACTGACACTATTTCTTGTTACCATATATTTTTGTAAAAGAACATATAATAGCATCATTGTAAGTTTCTGTTATAAATGATCTCCTGTTTTATATAAATGAACAATGCAATTTCGTCTAGCCAATTATCCGCTTTATTGCTCACTTTAAAATCATGTTTCACCCATGTACTCGTTCCATGAAAACTGTTGGCTTGTAAATAAAAAAAGAAATAAAGTTATAACTGTTGTTGTCTGATGTTTAGGCTGGTTAAACTGTTAATATACAACAGTGATATAATCCATGTCACATCATCTAACAGTGGGCTGGTTGCATGAAATTTATTAGTTGGTCATCGCCAAACTAAATGTATGACATACTTGGATGTTCTTTGTTGTTTGTTCACATATATTGTATTGGCCTTTTTATGAATAAGTGGGTAACACCAAACGTTATATGTAGACGTTTCATATTTCGTATAGACACTTAATTCCTTCTAAATGCAAGATATTTTGTCGAGTGGGTCTCGTCACGTGGTCACGGAAAGCATGCACCTACCGTTTTTCTGTTTTTAGTGCAGCAGACCAACATGATTGTCCATTTACACCGATATTACATGACGCTATAATAAGACGACATTTAAGTAAAGCAGATATGTGGAGGGCTGTGCAATGGTTGGGCAGGGTGGCACACACCGTGAAGTTGATGTGGCGCTTGGTGTACACCACATCATTATCACCAGAGTTTGAGTATGGTACATCCGCCTGGAGGCAGGCAAAGGGTGGCGACAGCATCTCAAGACCAATACTTGATAATTAAGTTCCGTCGAGGATGAAACAGCAACTCGTCTACGTCACCTTCATAATGCTTCTTAGGTCAATTTACTCAGACGATGCTTAGAAGGTTGCACGTGGGTAATCTGCGATTAAGGAGACGAATATTTCAAGAATCTAGAACGAGCTGTGTGGCAATAATGGAATGGTTAGGGGAGAAATGACACAAGGGTTCCGTTGCAAGTGAAGTCCAAAGTCTGAAATATGTCTTTAAACCAAACTATTTTTGCTTCAAAGAAATGAAAACTTATGACTTGTGTTAAGACTCTTCAAATTCTAAATAGTACTGTAAATTCACTTAATTTACTGGTCATGAAATTTCGTAGATTTGTCACAAAGAACATTTCCGAGGGTTCTTAAATTTGTTAATTGTCTATTTTTGCAATAAGGTCTAATCAAACAATGTAATGCAAAAAAATCTTGCAGTGGACAAACTGAAATTTCGTTGGATCTTTAATTCGTGGATAGACCTATCCACGAAAAATACGAATATTAGTGTCCCACGATTTTTTATGATTTTGTAGTAATACAAATGAACATTCCTACATTGCGGATTGAAACATGTGTCATTGTATTTTGTAACTTTTCTCAGGAGAATGAGTTATATTAAAGTCTTGAGACTTTAACTTCAGATGATAATGTTTCTTGAAACGGTCTTAAGTTAGTGCTAAAGTTTGTCATAAGACTTAATATACACTTATGACTGTCTATGAAACGCAGCCCAGATACTTTTAGATTCTACCAGATGAAAGCTAGTGCAAAAACAAACAAACAAAAAACAAATAAAAAACATATATTAGAATTATTAGTTTTTAATACGGTGTTTTTGATCTTCTGTTGGAATAGGTCACGATATATATCAACTAATATCAGAGTTCAATTCTATATTCGAAACCATGCTAATGGTTCAAATTTGATAGCTGTATGGCAAATAACAAGCTTTTTACTTAGTGCATGTAAGGAAAACCCATGGCAGGATCCCGACCACTCCCCAGAGCAAGACACATTTTGACCCCAAGGCTATAATTTAATCAAACTTTGTATCTGTCCACTAGACCATGTTTCACGCCAAATATCTAACCTCTTACCATTCATTCTACATATCAAAGTTTAAAGAAAATAATATGTGTGTAGGGAAAACCAAAACCAATGACCCCGAGGTGAAGCCAGTTTCAATCCATTCGACTAAAATTAGAACAAATATTTGTATGGGTTAATTAAACAATGTTTCATGCTAAATATCTAAGCTCTAGCCAATATGGTTTTTATTATATGTATATAAGAAAAAAATCTGGACAAAGTGTGATCCCTCGGAAGCAATAATCACAACAAAATTACATGAACATTGCGGACTCGGTTTGATTGAGTCTGTACATGAGGAATAAGGAAAGGTACAAAATTCTTCACGGCCCCTAGAACCGGCTTGAGCGGTACTCAGTTTTCAACACTAAATATCTAAGATCTAACCCTTACAGATTTTAAAAAAGGAATTTTAAAGTAATAACTATATATATAGAAAGAAAACAGGTTCCCCTTGGGGCGGGGCAATTTTAACCAAAGGCCTATAGCTTGAACAATTATTGTATATGTCTACTAGACAATGTTTCATGCTTAATGTCTAAGCTCTGGCACCGAAAAAGAAGATTTTTTTCCATTACTTCCGGTAAAATGACGGACATTTGTTTAGTTTTCTGTGCTGAGATAAATAATATGTTTCTATAGTTTTAATCGGATTAAAAGGGACAATTATACTTCAAATTCATGGATTTAAAGTTATTACAATGAATTATTAGAATGCTGGATTTCATAAGATGATCATTATATTGCAAATGGTAAACTATTCTTGAACATTTTTGAACAAAGAGATACATGTACATTCCCGCCTTTGTGTCCGTCCGTTAATGTATCCACTACGCACGAAAATTCGTTGAATTTCGTAGTAATCGACAGATACAAAGTGCCAGTACTTTGTTTTGGTATAGTCACGTGGTATATAGTGGTACAACATGAATTCAAATGGGGAAGAATAAACTGGATTTAGAATGTTTTAAACGATTTTTTTGGACTTAAAATTTGGACAGTGAGGTAGTGTAGCATCCTTTTATTCATGTCAGGCCAAAATTTGAACAAAAATAATAAGAAAAAGAAAAGAAAAGCCATATCTCCATTATCTACAGAAACTCAATACACGTGTAATGTACCGCGTCCAAATCAGTCAGGTGAAGCACAGGTAAACACGTCAGGTGGACAGTTGGACAATAAACGTGTATTCAACTTTGGATCAGATTTGTTTACACCAAATACACAGCTGATAAACATGACTTCGCCAGTAAGTAACTTCTCGCAGCCTTATTTTGGGTTCAGCCCGTCACCTCACCCACAAATGTTTACCGCACAACAGACAGCAACGTCGGTCCCTCCACCGTGGGCTAATTCTCTTATTGAAGACATTAAAAATATGAATCATGACATCAAAACCATGAATATATCATGTGAAAACGTAGAAAAAACAGTAAAGTTAATAAACTTAAAAGTATCTGCTATGGAAACGCGCCTTAACACTGTTAAAACACTTGAACATAAAGTTGATGCTGTCGAAACCTCATGCGCATTCATCAGTAATGAATTCGACATACAAAATCAGAATTAGTAGCCGCTAAAAAACAAATAGATCATCTAGACCAATCATATAATAAGCTAGAAAACAAATCGCAGTCATAAAATGCAAAAGATCTGAATTAATGACAAAAATTATTGACCTAAAGTCTCGTTCAATGCATGAACACCTAATTTTTTATGGGGTACCCGAACAAACATCCGGAGCAGACGGACACCAGGCGGAGGACTGCGAAGCTCTTGTGAAAGAACAAATCACCAGCAAATTGAATTTAAATGGGGATAGTATGATTATTGATAGAGTTATGGCTTAGGCTCAAATCGTGCAAAGAAACCCAGAGGCATCGTTGTCAAGTTTCACTATTATTCTGAAAGGGAACAAGTGCGCCTTAAATCCTATGATAAAAATGTGAAAAAGATCTTAAATGACAACAATTATGGAATAGGTATCCAACGACCACAGGCAATGCATGACGCAAGGAAAGCATTCTTTGACGTCATCAAACACGAAGAAGGGCTTGGTCGTACCACAAGAGACAACGGATTGAAACTTTTTGTGAATAACAATCTATTCAAAGTGTTTAACGATGGAAAGGTAATAGATCCACCGCCTTACATGATGCCAGCTTCACATTAGGGGAGTCAGGAAGAACACCTTAAAATTGTTTCCTGGAATGTGAACGACTTAGTCGCAAGATACATGACCCAGATTTTATTAATATTCTAAATAGTTATAATATAATTTTACTACAGGAAACTTGGTTACACAAAGACTCTAACATTAATTTAGACATAACAGGTTATTTAAGTGATCATTTATATGGTAATAAGTCAATGAACACTACAAAAGGCCGCTATAGTGGAGGTTTATCTCTGTACTATAAGGAACATTTGCGATCTAAAATAAACATTATTCATAAAAATCAAATTGGCAAAAACCTTAAATTCTAAGCAAAAACTTTATAGTGTCTTTATAGACTTCGAAAAATGTTTTGATCATATTGATAGAAATTTCTTATGGAAAAAATTATTAAGTTATCAAGTTAGTTCAAAATTTGTTACAGCTCTAGAGTCAATGTATAATATCGTTAAACAATGTGTTAGATATAATGGTAAAATGTCGGAATTTTTCAACTCGTTTATAGGATTGAAACAGGGAGACCCGAGCTCAAGCCTGATGTTTCTACTGTTCGTTAATGATATATTACAAAATATTGATACTAATTTAGAAGGAATATTTACAATAAATGAACTTAAGTTTTTCCTCTTGATGTTCGCTGATGACGCGGCATTATTTGCGCACTCACCCGAAACACTGCAGTCTATGCTAAATGACCTTAACCGGTACTGTCATACGTGGGGACTAACAATCAATACGAATAAAACCAAAGTTATGGTATTTGAGCGTGGTCGACATACTCAGTGTAATATATTTCTTAATAATACACAGCTAGAAGTAGTCCCATCATTTAAGTATTTAGGAACGCATCTCTTCAAAAATGGATCGTGGTATAGAACACAAATTAGAATATCAAAACATTCATCATTTGCGCTCCATAACCTATTTATAGTTTTTAATCAAATTGAATTACCTGTGAAAGAAAAATTTCGTCTGTTCGACAGTTTAGTAGGTTCTATATTAAATTACAATGCATCAGTCTGGGGGTATCATGATGGCAACCACATTGAACAAATACATTGTAAATTCCTTCGAAAATTGTTATGTGTAAAACGATCGACAAATCTATACGGCTTGTATGGTGAACTTGGGCGATATCCCATGAAAACAGCACGG